TTTTACACATCTCTCCTGCCCACTTCGCCTCTTCACTTCTTCTCTTCATTCTCTTTTGGCGTCCTTACAAAAATGTTTTAATTGCTACCTTCATCCCATTATAGCAACTGACACTCAAGTGTATGTGTAATTTTAACTATACCACCTATCACTGGAGTGAAATTTAGAAATCTATTTGAGTCTCCAGTTGGCTGGAGATTTCTTTCAACAGGCGACCTTCTGGTGTACACTTCCTGCTTCTGAGAACTCCCTTTAACTGTTCATCCCCTTTCCATCTTACCACACCCCCAAAACCAGCCCAGCCTTATTTATACTTCAAGTACCTGGCCCACAGTGACTTCTCATTAATATATGTTGAATTAAGTAATAAATCCACCTGGAGAAAAATTCACAGAACAAGCCTTCTCTTTTCTTTTTGTTGTCTGCAAGAGAAACATCACTCAGCACTTTTTTTTTTTTTTTTTTTTCTTTTGAGACAGAGTCTCCCTCTATTGCCCAGGCTGGAGTGCAGTGGCTCGATCTCGGCTCACTGCACCCTCCACCTCCTGGGCTCAAGGGATTCTTGTGCCTCAGCCTTCCAAGTAGCTGGGATTATAGGCACCCACCATCGCACCCATCTAATTATAAAAAATTTTTTAGTAGAGATGGGGTTTCACCATGTTGGCCAGGCTGGTCTCGAACTCCTGACCTCAGGTGATACACTTGCCTCAGCTTCAAAAGTGCTAGGATTACAGGTGTGTGCCACCACACCTGGCTGCACTCAGTACTTGTTTAAGGTCTTTTGAGGAGAGTGAAAAATTCGTATTTCTTATTCTTTCTGAGTTTGTCATTGTTTGTCCTTCTGTGTCATTTGACGTCTCTGAGTTAAGATAATGGTAATCATGTCTCCTTGATGTTTGAAAGTAATCCAAAAGGTTCACCATCTTCTAAATTAAAAAAAGAGAAAAGTTCCTTTCTCCTTCCCTCGTGTGTCCCCTGCTTCACTACTTTTTGTAAAAAAAAAAAAAAAATCTCCAGCTGGGCACAGTGGTGCATGCCTGTAATCTCAGCCACCACGCCCGGCCCCTCTATTTCTTTTGAAATTAACCTTGCTCTTAATATCTGATTGAAAATGATGCATTCTAGGCTGGGTGAGGTTGCTCATGCCTGTAATCCCAGCACTTTGGGAGGCTGAGGTGGGAGGATCACTTGCGGTCAGGAGTTTGAGACCAGCCTGGCCAACATGGAGAAACCCTGTCTCTACTAAAAATACAAAAATCATCTGGGCATGGTGGCCCATGCCTGTAATCCCAGCTACTCGGTAGGCTAAGGCAGGAGAATTGCTTGAATCTGGGAGACGAAGCCTTCATTGGGCTGAGATGGTGCCATTGCACTCCAGCTTGGGTGACTGAGTGAGCGAGATTCCATCTAAAAAAAAAAAATGATGTATTCTAGATGGAAGGAACGATAAAGAAAATAAAACACATAGTTTTTAAGTGTGCCTCATCAGAAAACCAAAACCCAGTGTTGGTTGCTGCACCTCTGCCCTAAGAAGTCTTCCCCAATTCTCCAACATAAGCAAGAGAGTGAATAACCAAACTGCAGATCGAGATTCTCCCAGGTAGCTTTTATCAAATCCCATATAAAGCACAGATAAGTAGTAGGAACTCCTGTGGAGAGCAACCATGAGGTGGAGCCCTTCCAATAACCTCAGAACCATAACAATAGTCAAAGAAAAGGAAGCCTGCCTTTACAAGACCACTGAGAAAATAGTCAATAGTCTGTTGGGAAATAAGAGTTGTGGGGAAGGCATTGAGATGACATGAACATTCACAGCATCACAAGTGATGCTGTGGAAGGCGGGGCTCCTTTTACGTCCCCACCCCTGGCACATACACCCTTAGGCTCTGCAAAGGTGACTTGACCGGAGTAGCCAGGTGCAGGTAACCTAGTGAGCGTAAGTATCAGGATTTATAATCTAGAACATGCCAGCCTCACCCTTGATTTTTTTTTTTTTAAAGTAAAATGATAACTTTGAGCAATATTGCTGTCTGATGGTAAAGATGGCACTCTTAGTGTATACTGCTACTGAAATGTACTTTTAAAAATACCACTTTAAAAAAATTCAGAGTTTCTTCTCAGGAGGCAATGGGCAGTTATGACAAGCCTCACACTTGCAGGGCGGCAGATTTGATGGTTGAAATCAAACCTAGACTGGGTTTTGAAGTTAGTTACTGAAAGGGTCACCTTACATTCCAGGCCTTATCTCACCTTTCATAGGCAAAAGTTACCAGTGATTCCTACCTCCCTGGGTCAGGGTGGTCCCTGGCTTTTATCTCTAGAGCCATGGGTTCCCTGCCCTTTCCCTGGCTTGCTTTTCCTGAGCCTGCTTATCAGTTCCACATTACGGCAAAGCCTCTGTCATGCCTTTCCCTTCTATTGCATCAGCTCTAAACACCCCTAGCTTGTTTCTTTCCCCTCGCCCTCCTGGTCCTGAAGCCAATCTGGGCCCAACCCTCAGACACCCTCTCCAACCCTCTCCTCATCCTGAGCCAACCCAGTCCTGTGAGAGTTCACAGGAGAGTCCCCAGGTGCTCCTCACTACTCAGCCTGGTCACAGAGGAGGCTGTGACAGAGCTCAGGAAGACTCCATGAGCTGCATAACCCAGGGCAGGTTCCTGTGCCTCAGTATCGGTATCTGTAAACTGGGAATAATGGTGACATCTTTGTCTCTGAGTCCTCATGACACTGTGTGGGGTGTCTTATTGCACAGCCCAGTGCATAGTAAGTGCTCAGGAAAGTACTGCTGACTCTTGTCATTATGACTGCTCTTGAGAATAATGTTATAGGATTTTTAAGTGCTGATTTTGTCACAAGCCAAATAATAGGTCATAGAGTTTTAGAGTTGAACCTTGTGAGAGGAAACTACACAGAACACTGGCATCCCGTTTTATGTCCAAAAGGTTAATTTAATGGTATAGATCAAGTAATATTTGCAAGCCAGGAATCCACCAAAATACAGAAGTCACTTATGGTGACAAGTCAAGAGCTATTCCCTACCATCAGTAAAGAGGAACATTTGGAAATGAAAATAACTTAAAAGATGACAGTGTTAGCCATGAGGTTCCCAATGACTTGACGAAAAGTGATGGTGTCATATTACCTGGCGGGATCCTGGTTTATAAACATCCCTGTGACTTTCTGAGAAAGAAGCAGCTGATTTTGAAAAGGAATACAAGTATTCCTTACTGTCTGAGCCCTCACTATTGGAACTCAGAATCAAACAGATTTCGATTAATTTTCAATAAACCCCTAACTGTCTGAGTTCTTACTACTTGCCATTAAAACACAGAAACGAAATGCATTTGGGTAAAGCAGAATCTCTCATGAACCAAACTCACCATCTGAATTGCCACCTGGGAACTGATGGATTTGAATGGTGGGGGGTACTTGTAACTGATTTTTGTAATAAGAACTTGATTCATCAAAAGAAAGTAGTTAAAATATAATTCATCTGAGTCACGGCACCAAAAAAAAAATATGATTCAATGTGGTCTTCTTAAGAATATATAAGCGATTTCAGAATGAATTCAAGAATAAAAATTCCAGTGGAATGTTTGCCTCAGATAGGATTCAAGATTACAAGCAACAGATGCTGACTCTGCTCATTAAAGAGCCTGTTAAAGACTAGGAGTGGCTCACAGTGTCATAGGCTGGCTTGGAAACCAGCCATCACCAGAGCTTCCAGAAACAGGCACCACCCCCAGAACTGTTCTAAGGAGGAAACCCCAGCGTACGTGGGCTATGCTCTGCCCCTGTGCCCCTTCTGCAATGGATTGTAATGGAGTGCCACTTTGGATGGCCACTGCCTGACTACTGCCCCTGTTGGTCAGGGCCAGAGAAACAGAGAGAGAGGAGAGCTGTGCCTACTTCATTTGCTGTCACCAGCTCCTGAGGCCAAGCCTGGCACGAGTGCCACTGCAGACCCAGCCCTACCTGTAAAGAAGGCTGGGAAGCAAGCTCTGGTGTCTCTCCTGGGGACATGGGATTCATGTCCCAAGGGACATGAATTGGGAATTCTGCAAGTGATTGGGAATTGGGAATTGGATTGGGAATTCTGCATGAATTAGGAATTCACGTCCCAAGGGACATGAATTGGGAATTCTGCAGGTGTAGGAAGGCTCTTCAAAAGGCGTGGTCAGCCCCACACAGAACGGATCTTCACTGGAATGGTGCTTTTCCATAGCTGTGAGTTGTAAGGTCCAGGTTTGCTTGCTTTCTTCTCCCTCTTCTTTTTCTTTTTAATGAAAAAAGAAAGTATTGGTGTATCACTTGTCATAAGGGAAAGTTGTATCCATGAGACTTTTGTTTCAGTTGCATGGAATCTGCATGTGTCTGAACTGGATTGCCATGTCAGAGGTGTTGTGTCAGCACAGGTCATATTCAAAAGCCACGGGTGTTTTTCTCCTCTTTTATTTTTCTGTCATATTCTTTCTCTCTCTCTCTCTCTCTCTCTCTCTCTTTCTCTCTCTCTCTCTCACACACACACACACACACATGCGAATGCATGCACACGATGGTGACTGTCTAGTGTCTAGAGCCTTTTTTTCCTGGAGATCCTGGACAGCTGGGACATTTTACTTGTTAAGGTGCAATATGTATTACACAGACGTAAGCCTAGCCTGGTGACCCACTCACTGTTACAACATTGTTTCCATGGGAAATTATGTTCTGACTTGTCAAGGCAAAGCTTTAAAAAAATCTGTTGTGGAGAGAGTGGTGCCTGTGATGATTGTGGTGACAGTTATTACAATGCAGAGAAAACATTTCAAGGAAACTTTGACCTCAAAGTGTTTATGTAGCAAAAAAAAAAAAAAAAAAACCCAAAACCCAAAAAACCTGTTTTAACAGTAGAGAGCTTTTTCTTATTGTTATCTATATGGAGATCAGCAGTACCTTCTTAAGTTTTAGCCTTCTCTGAAACCAGTTCATTCTAACTTTATAATGTTATTTATCTGCAGGTCCATTCACTCGACCTCATCCAGCATTATGGCGAATGGTTTTTGGTAAGTTTTCATTAGCAATGTAAAAGGATGTTCTGTTTTTTTCAATCTTTTTTCCTGTTTATCACTTTAAGACTTTTACTTGCCACTCTCAATAATTAAAACTTTGTTATAGCTTTTTTGCTTTTTGATGTTTCTAATATAGATGTTTTCTTAAAATTCTTTGACACAGAATAAAGTGTTGACAGTGACCTAAATTCTCTTACACATGAACTGTTTCAACTCCACACGCCTCCTTATGCTGCTGTCTCTTAATGTACACAGGATTTGACTTAAGCAAATATCTCTTGTTTTTCTTTACGCATTTTCACATTGCTTTTTACTAGTGTAAGCCCAAGTGCCTACTAGGAGCACATTTGTCTTGGGAGCATCTGGGAGGGAATGAAAACAAAGCAATTCCATTTCTTCAGTGTTACGAATGAGAAAGAACTTGGAAAGAGAAGACTTCTGACAAAGAACCCTAATTTGGACTAAGAGTTACAAATAAGCATATAAATATTAGATGTCTTAGTTTTACTTGGTTTTATAGTCCAAATAGTGAAGTCACCTAAATGGATTTAAAATGAATCTTCAAAACTTTGAATATTGGCTTCATCTTGCCTAAATAAGTCACCAAATGAATTATTTTAGGTTTAGAAAATGTAATCTTATATAAAAAAAGTGTATAAGAACTCTAAGAAATTGCTGTTTTGCAAAAGGCTGCCTATTTTTCTTTTAGCCTTCAGAGCTCCTAGGTAACCCATAATCTCTTTAAATTGATTGGTGAACTTTTCACTCAGCAGCCATTCACTGAGTGTGCTATGTCACAGGTGCTGCTCTGGGCCCTGAGGCCACCAGGGAGGACCAGACAGACAGGAGCCTGCCCTCGAGGAACTGCCCTTCTACTTGGAGACAGAGGACAGCTAGTAACACAAACTATTACACAAATCAGTAATCAAAAATTATCAGCTATCTCAAAGTATTAGGAAGCTAGTTTAGACCAGGGGAGGCAACAGGAGCTGGGTGTCTGCTTTAGCTTGAGGAGTGAGGGGAGGCCTGAGGGAGTGATGCCCAGTCGTAAACTGTCACACGAAGGAGGATCCAAGTCTGCACAGATTCTGGGGGAGGGGAGCGTCCCAGGCAAGGGAAGAAGCTGCTAAAACGGCCCGCAGCTAGAAACCACTTGGTGTGTTCCAGGCCAGTGAGGTGCAAGCATAGTTAGCCCAAAGAGAAGAGTAGGAGGGAGGTCACAGAGTCGTCGGGCACAGATGGAATCATGGGGACTGTAGGCCGGGGTAGAGAGCAGGGCGTGAAGAGCAGGGGGAAATCACGGGAGGGTTTTTCCCAGAGCGACCTGATTCAATTTACATTTTTCTTTTTTTTTTTTCTTTTTTTTTTTTTGAGACGGAGTTTCGCTCTTGTTACCCAGGCTAGAGTGCAATGGCGCGATCTCGGCTCACCGCAACCTCCGCCTCCTGGGCTCAGGCAATTCTCCTGCCTCAGCCTCCTGAGTAGCTGGGATTACAGGCATGCGCCACCACGCCCGGCTAGTTTTCTGTATTTTTAGTAGAGACGGGGTTTCACCATGTTGACCAGGATGGTCTCGATCTCTCGACCTCGTGATCCACCCTCCTCGGCCTCCCAAAGTGCTGAGATTACAAGCTTGAGCCACCACGCCCGGCCCTCAATTTACATTTTTAAAAAGTTAGTCCTTGGCCGGGCGCGGTGGCTCAAGCCTGTAATCCCAGCACTTTGGGAGGCCGAGGCGGGTGGATCACGAGGTCGAGAGATCGAGACCAGCCTGGTCAACATGGTGAAACCCCGTCTCTACTAAAAATACAAAAAATTAGTTGGGCATGGTGGCGCGTGCCTATAATCCCAGCTACTCAGGAGGCTGAGGCAGGAGAATTGCCTGAACCCAGGAGGCGGAGGTTGCGGTGAGCCGAGATCGCGCCATTGCACTCCAGCCTGGGTAACAAGAGTGAAACTCCGTCTCAAAAAAAAAAAAAAAAAAAAAGTTAGTCCTGGCTATAACAAACATACCTCCCATTAATTTAATAGTGCTGTTTGAAGTTATTTTCAGCGAGCTGAACATATCTAAATTCTTCCTATTTCAAATGATCTGTGGTAGATAATAAGCAGCATTATTTCCTTCCTGAGAGCCTTAGGGAACATGGAGCCCTTTGATAATCCAATGAGAACTTGGATAGATAGACCCATTCCCAATGTGTGCACATTGGGACATTCACCATGCACAGTTCTGCATCTAGTATGCAGGCTTCACAGACCTCGAAGCCCAACCAAGAACTCCAGATTGAGAATCCCTGCACCACGGATTCTTTCTGTCCTAATGTAATTATTCAAGAGGGTCATAATTATTAAAAAGTCAAGTAGGGGGCGTTGGTGGTGAAAACTGGAAAAAATAGGTGGTGCATAAGCTTAAACTGAAGGCAATTCTCCTATCAACTTGCCTAAAAATTATGCATTCCTTGGACCCTAGGATTCACAATTATGGGCTGGCCACATACCACCTGGGCCTCGAGCTCCCTGAGGCCTGGAGAGGGGTGCCCATTGGAAGGCTTGGCGCTATAGTGCTTGCAGTGGATTTCATTCCAGCCACAGACGTGCTCTCCTCTGGAATGGCTCACTGGAGATTAGTGCTGAGCCAAGTTTGGATGGGCGCTGTGATCCAACGTCATTTGTATCACAGTCTCTAAATGTCCTGCATAAACATTCTAATTCCAATGGGTTCAATGGAAAGAGAAACCACAAAGTCCCTGGTGATCGGTTCTGAAATCTTTCTAAAATGTGTTGGACAGGCATTTGCCTTCTGAAAGTGCATTATTCACATTTCTTTTTAAAATGACACAGGGTGCAATTATGAGATGATTTAACAATAAAAGAATGCCTACAAGGGCTAATGTAGAGTGTAAATCTTGAATAAGTGGCCCTGGGCCACCTTTTGAACCTTATGCCAGTAGTACTGTCCACAGCCAGCCTTGCCCTCCTCCAGTCCACTTAGTTGGCTTTTTAAAATACTACCTAGATCATCTCATTTCCCCACTTAACTTACAATCAAGTCTGAAATCTCGGCCATGGCCTTTAAGCCCTGTCACTTCAGGGCCATCTTGATCGTTCCCCTCTCTGCCAGTGCTCCAGCCACCTACTGGGTCCTAGACATTTCTCTTCAGAAACCGACCTGCACGCTATTCTCTATCTGAGTGTTGCATGCGATCCTCACGCCCACCCCACACACTCTTTGCCTGGCAGCCCTTCAAGTCTCAGCTTAAGTTAGCATCAGTTTCCCAGAGGTGGTTTCATTGGCCCCTCTCAATCTGAATGAGGACTATATCAGACTGCCTCGTCAAGGGAAATTCCATATTACAAGAGGAGTCTCAACAGGCTGTGTTGCAATCTCAGTGTCTGCTTTTGACAATGCCATTCTAGTCTAATGTGTATCGTGCGTGTCTGACAATTGGATCTCTTCTAAACCTAAGCATGTTTTTATTTCTCTCAGGACTCAGTGTGCTCTACTTCCTGTTCCTGGTATTCCTACTCTTCCTGAATTTTGAGCAGGTTAAATCTCTAATGTATTGGCTAGATCCAAATCTTCGATACGCCACAAGAGAAGCCGACGTCATGGTATGTACTTGTCAGGGCCTCTTGGAGAAACTGGTAGACTCTTTCTTGGGTGTAAGAGGTAGTAGACTTCACATTTTAAATTGTTCCTTCTCTATACTTCCTGTGTAGATACCTAAACACCAGGTCTCTGGGAGGGTTCTTGAGGTGCATGGCTGTCCACAAGTAAGTGATAAAGTCCAGGGAAAGGAAATCCTCTCATTCCGCAGAGGAGTCTGTGAGGAAGAATACACACGTGATCATCGGACAGCCTCGGGTGTGAATTCTGCCTCTGTTACTTGGTTGTGGGACTTTGGGCAAAGTATTTGTAAGTTGAAAATAGTAATTCTTACTTGGGGTTTATTGTGAAGTGAACAAAGTAGCATCATTTGTGAGGCCTTCTGCAAGGTCTGACATGGTGCCCCCAACACGCCAGGCCCTGGGTCACGGCGGCTTCCCCTGCGCTCGTCAGCATCACCATCAGCACCTGCACTCTGGCCTGGATGCCTTGATCCTGCCCCACTGCTTGCCACAGAGAGGCCATTTCATTTGTTACTAATGTTTTTATTAAACCATACAAAAGATTTTATTCTTCGCTAAAACTACTCTATTTTGGCTTTTACTAAAGAGACTACTTTTATGGGAAAAATCAACTATTTTTCTCTTCACCGATGGTGAACATTTTTATGATGGGTTTTTCCCACACCAGCCAGTTCTCCAACTTTCCTGACACCTGGAGTTAGCGTCAGATCCCCCTAGTTAAGGGCCCAGTCCCTCACCACTACCCATGTTTCAGATGCCTCTCACAAGTCTAGCGTGTCACTTGTGCTTCTGACCCATCAGCTACAAATCGGGTTCCTGCAATCTCCTCCTTGTGCACGATCATTGACTATGAAGGCTCACAGAACTATTTAAGTTTGCCAGCTTATGTAAAGGACATGATGAAAGATTCAGGTGAATGGCTGGATGAAGAGGTAGCTCAGGCAAGGTCGAGCAGAGTCCTGAGGGCAGACGCCTTTGTCTCTGTGGAGTTGGGGTTCACCACCCTGCCAGCACGTGGATGTGTTCACTGACCTGGAAACTTTCTGAACCCCAGAATTCAGAGGTTTTTATGGAGACTTTATCACATAGGCATGATCTTTTTTTTATTTGTTTTTGAGACAGAGTCTCACTCTGTCGACCAGGCTGAAGTACAGTGGCACAATCTTGGCTCGCTGCAGCCTCCCTCTTCCAGGTTCAAGCAATTCTCCTGCCTCAGCCACCCAAATAGCTGGGAAAATAGGTGCCCACCACTATACCTGGCTAATTTTTGTATCTCTAGCAGAGACAGGGTCTCACCATGTTGGCCAGGCTGGTCTTGAACTCCTGACCTCAAATGATCTGCTCCCCTCAGCCTCCCAGAGTGGTGGGATTATAGGCATGAGCCATCATGCCTGGCCATTTTTTTTTTTTTTTTTTTTTGATATGGCACTTACTCTGTCGCCCAGGCTGGAGCACAGTGGTGTAATCTTGGCTCACTACAACCTCAGCCTACCAGGTTCAAGTGATTCTCCTGCCTCAGCCTCCTGAGGAACTGGGATTACAGGCACGTGCCACCATGGCCGGCTAATTTTGTATTTTCCTTAGAGATGGGGTTTTAACATGTTGGCCAGGCTGATCTCAAATTCCAGACCTCAAGTGATCCACCCTCCTTGGCATCCCAAAGTGCTGGGATTGCAGGTGTGAGCCACCACACCATCCCATGATCAATATTTTATTCCGTCACCAGTCATACTCTCCTTCCCAGAGGATGGAGGGTAGGACTGAAAGTTCTAGGCTTCTAATCATTTCTTGGTCTTTCTGATGACCAGCTCCCACCCAGGAACTTATCAGTCACCTCATTAGAACAAAAGATGCTCCTATCACCAGGAAATTCCAAGGATTAGGAGCTCTGTGTCAGTAGCTGGGGTCAAAGAACAGATATTAGAACAAAAGATGCACCTAGCACCCCTATTGCCCAGGAAATTGCAAAGGTTTTAGGTGCTCTGGGCCAGGAGCTGGGGACAAGGACCAAATTATGTATTTATTATGAACCACAATATCACACTATTTTATACTATAATGTGTTTGTTTCCAATTTTTTTTAATCCAAACATTTGGCACAGGTTAATTCCTTTCTGAAAAGGAGAACAGGAATTTAGGCCACAGATGGGTTTGCTTTGACAAACAAGAAGTAATACAAAAGGACTTAATAAAAGATCCAAGAAATAATCATTTCCTCACAGTGACATTGGTCAAATCCTTCTTGGAGTGGTGTTTAAAGATTGTTATCTTTAAATTTTTTTTTTTTTTTTTTTTTTTGAGACGGAGTTTCACTCTTGTTACCCAGGCTGGAGTGCAATGGCACGATCTCGGCTCACCGCAACCTCCGCCTCCTGGGTTCAGACAATTCTCCTGCCTCAGCTTCCTGAGTAGCTGGGATTACAGGCACGTGCCACCATGCCCAGCTAAATTTCTTGTATTTTTAGTAGAGACGGGGTTTCACCATGTTGACCAGGATGGTCTCGATCTCTTGACCTCGTGATCCACCCGCCTCGGCCTCCCAAAGTGCTGGGATTACAGGCTTGAGCCACCGCGCCCGGTCCGTTATCTTTAAATTTTTTAAGGGATATGCTTAAAGCAAAAATAAGAATGCCAGAAATTATTTATCAGTCTCAGGGGGGAAATTTGTTTCATAATATTTTTACCCTAAGGGAGAGAATGGCAGAAGTTGACCTCCTAGCCTATGATGATGATGATGATAATGATGATGATGGTTATAATGATGATAATGGCAGTTATTGATGATGAATTGTCTATTTGTCAGACACTGTGGAGGGCACTTTATATTCTATATAAGCCTCATGCATGCATGCTAGATGTTTATATCACCGTTTTAGAGAGGAGAAGATGGAAGCTCAAAATGCAGCATCTCACTGAAAACACAAGTTGATGGATCTTTCTGGCTTCAAAACTTGTACTGTTCATTTGGAGTTTGCTTCTAGTATATAGTTATAAAAATAAGTGCTTTGATGCTCACAGGAGCCTTAGGAAATAGAAATTGGGAGGAAGATATCCCAGATGTAATATTCTCCCAAACATCTTTCTTACATTTTTGAGCAAAAGTGGCCACGTTGCAAAGTAAACTGACTTGCAGGTGGACATGCTTGTGTGCCTCTGTTGATCCGGTTCTCCCAGCCAGTAGGAAGAGGTTGAATCAAATAACAATGCTGTTGACATCTGGCTTCCTTAGGAATTTGACATCACAGGGACATCCAGATGTCACAGTTACAGTCCCCAAGTAGCTGAAACCGGATTTTAAACTCTAGTTGTCAAATGTTGGCTAATTCTTTCTTGCCAAAGTAAAGCAGAAGGCTGCGTTCAGCTTGTAGCATTCTAACTGGTGCTAAACAGCCTCACCTTCTCTATTTCTAATCCCATCCCTTTATATTTTAAAGTTGTCTTTTGCAATTCTAAGGACCTATTCATTGGTGTTTTTTTTATACCAGGTCTGTAATTCCTGGCTTCCCAGAGTCCCTACTCTCTCCATTCATGCTGCCACCCATTCCTAATCTTGATAGATCATGGTCCATGTCTGGTATCATAAAATGAAACTCAGACGTCGTTTTCCCTTAGAATTAATATTATTAAGGCCAGGAGCAGTGTGGCTCATGCCTATAATCCCAGCACTTTGGGAGGCCAAGTGAATCATGAGGCGGGTGGATCATGAGGTCAGGAGTTCAAGACCAGCCTGGCCAACATGGTGAAACCCCATCTCTACTAAAAATACAAAAATTAGCTGGGTATGTTGGCGCATTCCTGTAATCCCAGCTACTTGGGAGGCTGAGGCAGGAGAATTGCTTGAACCAGGACCTAGGAGGTGGAGGTTGCAGTGAGCCGAGATCGCGCCACTGCACTCCAGCCTGGGATAGAGAAAAAAATTAGTATTATAAATTGGTAGTGGGGAATCACTGAAATCCTATTAAAGGCAGATTTTTTGTGTAATTGTCTAAAAAGTTGCTGCATTTTAAAATATTGATTTTATTCAAAAATATGTGTTTAAGCTTCAGACAAGTTTGTAGACTGGGTTGTCTTGAAGCAACACTCTTTGGTTAATAAATACTGACCCAGCTTTTCTTTGTTTGTTTGTTTGTTTGTTTCTTTTTTTTTTTTGAGACAAAGTTTCGCTCTTGTTGCCCAGGCTGGAGTGCAGTGGTGCAATCTCAGCTCACTGCAACCTCCACCTTCTGGGTTCAAGCGATTCTTCTGCCTCAGCATCCCTAGTAGCTGGGATACAGGTGCCTACTGCCATGCCCAGTATTTTTAGTAGAAACCGGGTTTCTACATATTGGCCAGGCTGGTCTCGAACTCCTGACCTCACGATCTGCCTGCCTCAGCCTCCCAAAATGCTGGGATTACAGGTGCGAGCCACCATGCCTGGCTGACCCAGCTTTTCCTCTGCATTGTTTGTTTTTGGTTTTGTTTTTTGTTTTGTAGAAGCGAGGTTTTGCCGTGTTGGCCAGGCTGGTCTCGAACTCCCGACTTCAGGTGAGCCACTTGCCTCACCATTCCAAAGTGCTGGGATTATAGGCATGAGCCACCGCGCCCAGCCACTTTTCCTCTGCATAAGACACCATGCTGGTGGGAGCTTAGAGTCTACAAGAAGGCAAATTAAGCAAATAATTGTTGGCTCTTAAACCCTAAGACAATTTCAACAGGTTTTTAGAAATTCATTATGAAAAACTTTAAACCTGTGCAAGAGTAGAGAGAATCTATAACCTCATGTACCCATTACCCAGCATCAGTATTATTGACACAGGCCCAAACTTGTTTCACCTTTTCACCCCACATCCTGAATTCTTTTGAAACAGTTCTCAGAAATTAAACCTAAAATAGATGGCTTTTCTTTTTTTTTTTTTTTTTTTTAGCATAACCACTGAACAGTAAACAGTATGCAGTGAGTGTTCACATTTCTGCAATTGCCTCATAAATGTTCTGTACAGTTGATTTATTCAAAATAGGATCCAGACAAGGTTTACACATTGCATTCGATGTCTTGTCATCTGTAATTCCCCTCATTGTTTGCTGAAAGTTGATTTGTCAGAGAAAGCACATTGCTTATTCTACAGAGTTTTTCACATCTGGATTTGCAGCTTGCATTGGAAGTGTCATCATTTAACATATTCTCTTTGTCACCCTATGTCTTCTATAAACTAAACTCAGGTGTAGGGGCTGGATGAAATTCTAGATTCCAGATAAGTTTTTATAGTGGGATGCCTCAGAGCAGGTGCTGCATTTCGCACTAGGAGGCACACAATGTCTGGTGATCTCTCTTTTTATAACATTAAGATTGGTTGTTGGAAATAGATGCTCGGGGCTTTTTATAATGTTAAGATTGGTTGTTGGAAATAGAATCTTGGTGCTGCAAAGAAAAATCAGCACTGAGACAAAGGATCTTTCAGCAATGCAATTTTTACTTCCTGGACTGCAGGAAGGGTACCCTCGATAGCCATTGTGCCACAAGAGTACAATGAACAAAGGAAAACACACAAATTTATTCCATACGCATTTGGGGTTATCCTTATTGCTGTGTCTGATCTCCGTTGGCTGGAGCCAGACCTCACAATTTAAACTAAAACCTGATTGGTGAATAACTTAAAACTTTTCTAAACAGGTAAAAGCAATGGCAAGCTGGGGCATGCCTGTGAGCACATCCAGCACAGATATCTCAGTTAAAAATACAAGGACACAGAATGTACTACATGCCTATAAGCATGGGATGTTTTACAGCTGCATAGGATAGGGCTTAACCAAGTTATTAGCACACTTATTCTTTAACAAGAAAGGGAAGTTTAAAAAGGAACTTTTTTCTACTTCCCACACTGGTCATCAATTTTAATACACACCATCAATTATAGGTATGACTTTTTGGAGGAAAAAAACTTTATATTTAAAGTACTATACATTATAATATATTGAAATAGTCACCCTAATTCTCAAAAAATAATACAGTATGAAAAAGGCATGTGATAGATTCAAGGAAGCATAATCCTTATATAGGGGACAGCCTGTGTGGGGACCCTGATCAGGGTGTGGGGAGCTGGGACCAGTCTGGGGCAGAAGGAGTATAGGGAACAGGAGGCAGAGGGCCCTGCCTGAGGCTAGGGAAGCTGCCAAGGCTGAGCCAGATGGGGTGAGGAGTTTGGGTGTTATTCTCAATGCAAGAAAAGGCCATGAAAGGTTTATAAGCAGAGGAGCTGCATGATCTGTGTTGATGTTTTAGGAGGTCAATCAATAATACCTCCATTTCTAGTTGAGTTTGGAAACAAAAACAAGAGCTCAAAATCTCAGCTGATTTATTCCTGTAAAAGCTCAGTGGAGCAGATGGCCTTAGACCTGGGCTGAATTAAGCTAGCCTATCTTCTTCTAGCCCATTAGACAACCACAAGCTGCTTCTACGAAGCAGGGCCTGACCCACAAAAATTGCTGCATGGTTGAGGGAGCTGATGAGAACCTGTGCTGTCTGTAGGCAAATAATTTCCAAAAAGGACCCAAAAGAGGTTGGAGCTCTTTCTTCTTCCAAAGTCAGCAACTCCCCCAGAGAGGAGTGAACAGAGAGTTGGACTGGAAACCTGGCATGTGCAGTAGTGGAGATCCTTCTACATTGGGATGGGCATGCTAACCAACCTGTTTTTCCTCACCCCACTGCCCCAGACACGCTTACACACATGCCTGCACATTCCATGATCTGATTGTAATTTTCAAGATCTCTTTGTAGTCTTAAGCTGGATGTGAGTACCCCAGGTGCTTATTATAGCATTATCTATACTTTGTTATATGGCTGACACATTCCACAGTTTTCAAAAGCTGTTATTACAGAAGTCTAAGCTAGAAATAATAGTGTCAGTGAGATGAATAGAAGAACAACCTGGGGAGGTAAAGTGAATAGGACTTGGTGTTTGGTTAGGTGTCTAGCAAGTGAGGCAGAGGGAGGGGCCGCCAGGATCAGCCTAGGACCAGCTGGGAGGTCAGCAGAATCTATCTTTACCCATCTTTTGCTCATGGGCACACACCTGCCCACTTGACCCCCTTGCCAGGCTTCAGCTCTACACTGTTTTCAGTTAAACCCTGTTCCTCCTGGTTCCCAGGGTTCTGCCTGCATGCAGCTCTCTGGCTGCTTGAAACTGCAGTGCCCTATGGCCCTTCCAGGACCAGGACCTCAGGTCTTGCAAAGGGGATAATTGACCAATCTGTCCATTACTAACTATACTGAAATAAATGCATTGGTCTTTATGATTTTTAAAGTGCCTTCCCACATATCAAAGCATAGAAATACTTTAATAGAGTGTAAAGGCCTCCAAAGTTATCTGCAAGCTGTGATTACTTTAAGAGTAGCCTTCCAAAAATAGATCTCACCCCTTCCTTATCTAACTCTACACAGTGTATTCAGAGTAAAGAAGAGGGTGGGGTGGTTGAGACATTTGAGGCTGATGGGACATGGCCCTGCTCCTTAATCTAATAAAAAACCTGCTTCAGCCCAAGGGCACTTTCCTCTGTCAGGCTGTGATTCTCTGTGACAAGAACGTGCTGTGCCAGAGTCTGGGAAGAGACTTTTCGTCTTATTGCAGGGCAGTTTGTCTTTTTTTAAGCCTTATCTTGACTTATCCGTATTGAATTTTATCTTCTTTTCTCCAGATTTCCCATTCACACAGCATAATCTCACATCATACTGCTTCTCAAAAAATAGGGGTCTTGAAAATGTTTGTTCAGCTTTGCAAGTTGAAATGCATTTTATCTAAGAAGGAAATCTGATGTGTGGTAGGTTTCAGAAGAGACAGAGAAGTTCTCTTGCTGTCAGAAAGTGTCATTTCTGGAATTTGAAACTATTAGAATTTATAGAAATTTTTCCAGCTGGCTGATAATAGGGGGTATTTGCCAACTCTTACTACTTCCTATCAGGTTAATTTTGGGAAGAAAGGATGTGAAATGTAGAGATTCCTGATAAATGTTATATTATCATGTTGTCATGTAGTCACATGATATTAAATTACCTAGAAATATGTATAATCAAAAACTAAGATAATAGAAATGGAATCAAAATCTTTAAAAAGGTCTGTAATTTTTTTTTTTTTTTTTTTTTTTTTTTTTTGGCCTATAAGATCACACTTTATTTTTTTTTTTCTTTCTTGGTTTTCCTTTAGTTATTATTTTTTAAAATTAATTTATTTATTTATTTTTATTGTACTTTAGGTTCTGGGGTACATGTGCAGATCATGCAGGATTGATGCATAAGTACATACATGGCAATGTGGCTCGCTGCCTCCATCCCCCGTCACCTATATCTGGCATTTCTGTAATTTTTAACATTTAGATTACGTAGTATCTGATATATTTTGGTGGAGGGGAGTTCTGCTTTCTTTTGATCACTGAAGTTAGGTGCTTTTCTTCTTTTTTCTAGTAGAACTATTTAAGGCTTTACATTTTTCTCTAACTTCAATTTTTATATGGTGTATTTTCATTATCATCATTATGGCACATTAAAAAATTTCTATTAGGATTTCTTCTTTAATCCATGATATTTAGAAATGTGTGTTTAAATTGCCAAATCTGTTGGGAATCTTTTATTTATGCTTTTGTTACTGGCTTTAATGTCGTTGCCCTATGGTTGGATGACATGATCTATGTGATATTACTTCTTTAAGATATGTTGAGCCTTTGAAAAATTATCTTACTTCTCATTTTAATCCAGCTTTTGCAGTTCAGAGCAAAGCAGTTCTGATTTATGAACTCAAATACTTGTCCCTTTTCCTTCAAGACTCAGTTATTAATACTTTCTCTTTTTTTATTGAGCAGGACATATTATTAGTTGTCAAGGTCATATCTGTTCTTTTCATTTACTGGCAGAATCCTGGAAGCAAGTTGATTTCTAGAGTTTCATTAATTATTCTCTTTTTTTCTTTAAATAGGAGTATGCTGTGAACTGCCATGTGATCACCTGGGAGAGGATTATCAGCCACTTTGATATATTTGCATTTGGACATTTCTGGGGCTGGGCCATGAAGGCATTGCTGATCCGTAGTTACGGTCTCTGCTGGACAATCAGTATTACCTGGGAACTGACTGAGGTAAGAAGGAGGGCATGGGGGTTACCCAGACGGTTTCTCCGTGGTAGGCTGGTCTCGACCTCCTGACCTCAGGTGATCCACCCGCCTCAGCCTCCCAAAGTGCTTGCATTACAGGCGTGAGCCACCACAGCAGGCCTCCATTACTTTTAAAACGGAATCCAAACTTCCCACCCCGCTTACGAGGCTCCAGGTTCACTGGCCCTTGCCTGCAGCCTCAGCCTCATCGCGCCTCTCTTTTGCCCTTGGTGCTCCAGCTGCCTCTGCTGTCTTCCTCACCACAGAGGCCTGGGATCATAGGCAGGAGCCACCACGCCCAACCACAGCATCGAAGTTTTGAGAGGACAGAGCCCAACCCATCCACAATAGTGCCCAACACTTTACATATGCCTTCTAAGTCCTCTCAACAAACCGGGAAAGGTGGTGTATACAGATTCTCATTGTACAGATGGGGGAACCGGAGTGCAGAGCTTTGCTTCCTTTGGTGAGCCAGGATTAGATTCTAGATATGAAGCCCACGTTCCTGCCTTTATGCCACGTTCCACCTCTGAAATCCAAGCGTCTTTGGAGCCAGTGCTGCATAGGCCTTCTCGGCCTCACTTACTTCCCCCTCACACTGCAGACTGAGCATCTGCTATACTTTCTTTCCCTGCTTCCCAGTGCCTGTGGTCGCCAGGCCCTATAGAGTTCTGCAGAGTCTTCTAAGCACCCAGGTCTTCCACTGAAGTCTCTTCAGACCTCTGCTCCCACTTGTCTCTAATCCACGGTCATCTCCAACTGAATTGCTTGTCTCTTCCCTTTACACTATTTACTGCCAAACGATCCTCTTCAAAACCCACCAGACCAAGGCTCTTTCCTACTCAGAGCTCTTTAGTGTTTGTTTATTACTCTTTTTTTTTTCTTTTTCCTTGAGACAGAGTCTTACTTTGTTGCCCAGGCTAGAGTACAATGGTATGATCTTGGCTCACTGCAACCTCCGCTTCCCAGGCTCAAGTGATTCTCTTGCCTTAGATTCCCAAGTAGCTGGGATTACAGGCACATGTCACCACACTTGGCTAATTTTTTATTTTTAGTAGAGACGGGATTTTGCCATGTTGGCCAGGCTGGTCTCGAACTCCTGACTTCAGGTGATCCTGCTTCCTCAGCCTCCCAAAGTGCTGGGATTATAGGTGTGAGCCAGTGTACCTGGCCTCCATTACTCTTAAAAGAGAATCCAAACTTCCCACCCTGCCTACAAGGCACCAAGTTCACTGGTCCCTTGCATGTAGCCTCAGCCTCATCGTGCCTCTCTTTTGCCCTCAGTGCTCCAGCTGCCTCTGCTGTCTTCCTCACCACAGAGTCCTCCCCACTGCTCTTCCCTCTCTTCTTGCCCTTCACCTGCTAACAAGCTGTCTCCAGAGCTCAGCTCCGGAAGGCTATCCCTGCCCCTCCATTAGTTGTGCTCCATCTTTATACAGCTGGAAATAGAACACCTCACCATTCTCCTTTGAAATGCTCCTCACATGTCAGACACTCTCTCAGTGTCTCTTTTCTGCTAAACCTTGTGCCTCAACAGAGTAGGGCCCATGCCTGTGTATTCCCAGACCCAAGGACTTTGCCTTACACACGGCAGATGCTCCATAAATCTTCAGTGAATAGAGGAATGCAGCCCCCTCCTCTTTGGGCTTGGGTCTGTTGGGACCCATCTCACCTCCAGAACCTGGGACCTTCCTGGAAAGTTCCTTAGGCTGGAGGATGTTCTCCACATCCCACTCTCTTATATAGTTTTGTTTCAGCAAATACGTGTCATTGACTTCTGCTGAAGATTCTCTCTTCTCTCTTTAAGGGCAAAAGTTAAGGCTGCATCTCGTGGCTTGGAACCTGGGAATACACTTCAAGGGTAGTACCATGTTAAGAATGCAGCCACAAGCCATCACCTGCAGCAGCTACTCTGTAGCTTCTTGGCAGCATGTTCATTGAGAACAAAATGTTTCTCATATGTATATATCGTTCATAGCTTACAAAATGCTTTCATGAATACTGTTTCATCTTTGCAGTATTTATTATATTACTTCAAAGTTTTGTAATTATAGGTTTGTCTCCTTCCAGAGAACTCACAGGTATTGTCTTAGTAATTTCACCTTCTCACATTGGGCCTCCACAAGGCAGGGCATGCTATTCTGAATACAGCGGATATGCCCCTGGTTTTGGACAAATTGATCTCTGGGGGACTTCTGTTCCACCCTTGATCTTACTGTTCCCCCTTCCTGGAACGCCCACATCTTCATCTTCATCTCCTGAAATCAGTCATTCTTGTCCTTAATGTTCCCCCTCCAGTATGTCTTTCTTGCAGAAGCCTCTCCAGGAAAGCTCCATAGGCTGAAGGAAGTTTCAGCCTCAGTCAGAATGAATGTTTTGTTTCCACCATACTCCATTTATGTCACCATTGTCACACTTTCTTCAGTCTACCATATTTCCTGATTCTGGTTATCTGAATAAACATCTGATCCCAGCACTCTGGGAGTCCAAGGCAAGCGGGTCATGAGATCAGGAGTTCAGGACCAGCCTGGGCCAATGTGGTGAAACCCCAGCTCAACTGAAAATACAAAAATTAACCAGGAGTGGTGGCGTGTGTCTGTAATCCCAGTTGCTTGGGAGGTTGAGGTAGGAGAACTGCTTGAATCCGGGAGGCAGAGGTTGCAGTGAGCCAAGATTGTGCCACTGCACTCCAGCCTGGGCAACAGAGCAAGACTCCGTCTCAGAAAAAAAAAAAACCACCCAACATCTGACTCCTCCCATTGAAATCAAGACCCTTCACTTTCTTTTTTCTCATCACCTTGCACATCATGGGCACTTAATAAAAGATTGTCATTACTGTGAATCAGTTGGTGTGAGATTTCCTATTAAGCTGCCATGCTTCCTACTTCATGTCATCAAGAGCTGACTGTTCTTTTACAACATACTCACTGTGTTACCTAAATATCTAGGGGATATTTTTGAAATGCACAACTTGAATTCTCCAGCTGCCAATTTTGAGAATATGCCAATGCTTTGTCAGGTTGGAAAATTTTCTCCTTTTCCCCTCCCAGATCCTTGTCATGTTGTCATTAGTCAATGCAATTAATTGGTAGTACTTTTCAAGGAGACCCGCCTTTCTTTAAAGCCCTGTGTCAAAAGAGAAGAGCTGTTTAGATATGTGCTGTTTGTTTGCAAGCCATCCACAATATAAAAAAACAAGAAACAGACTGCAGAACCTGTTCCTGTTTTTTTTTTTTCTGTACATTAGGAAAAAATGAAATGTCAAATACTTTTTCTAAAATAATGGACTATTGAAAAGGAAATGTATCTGTCTGCATGGTACCCCAGTTTCGTTTGTTGATCCAACCTGGGCTCTTGTGTTTCTCAGCTCTTCTTCATGCACCTCCTCCCCAATTTCGCTGAGTGCTGGTGGGATCAAGTCATTCTGGACATCCTGCTGTGCAACGGCGGCGGCATTTGGCTGGGCATGGTCGTTTGCCGGTTTTTAGAGATGAGGACTTACCACTGGGCAAGCTTCAAGTGAGTTGCCTTCTTTTTGGATATTAATCACAGGTTTTCATGATATAGATTCAATTGTTTTGGTAGGAATCAATTTTAGCGAGGTCTTTGCTGATAAGGAATAAATGCCATGTTAATAACTGAAACTCATAAATGATTATAAACCGGACTTCAAGCATTTGTCCAGATAATGCTCAATCATTTATTATTTTTTCTTTCTCACTCCAGGTATTCAGGGGTTTCTAACACTACCCTCTTGATTTCAAAGATTTCTCGAATCCATCCCCTTTTTCATCCTGACTGCTTCAGCCTGCATTGAGACTCCCATCCCTGGATTAATTTGTCTCTGTTTCCAGTTAAGTCTTCCAGTCATTCCCACACCATTGCTTGAGTGAGCTTTTTAAGAACATCGGATTCATCATGTCATTCCCCTGTGATGGCTTCTCATGGTCCTTAGGATGTACATCTATTGCCTCAGTAGGGAAATCCTTTCTCTATACCCTCCCAGGCACCCCAGGGTCTGTTTATGCACACACTCCCCTCTTTACCCTGGGATTTGGCCTGTGTACCCATAGGCCGGCCTGATCATCCTTTTCTTCACTGACTCAGCTCACTTGTCATCCAGGAAGTTCTCTGACTAGTTTTAAGTTGCACGCCCCACTGTGCTTCCAGTGGACAGTCACGTGGCCGGCAATGTTTTATCCTGCTCCATTAAACTTGCTTCTCAGTTTGCAGCAGGAATCATGTCACTGATGAGGAACAAAAGAACAATGGTAGTGTTAACGAAAGTTGTGGTTGCTTCAGTTGTGTTTAAAACTTTGTTTACTTTATATAACGAAACAGCATTTTCCCACATCATTAAGTGTCGTGGACCGTCCGGGACGGGTACGCACGTCTGCCCAGGGGTCTCTCGACCTGCAAGAGGGTCCCAATACCTGGAAGAGGGAGTGCGCCTGGAAAATTAATAAAGACAGAGAGAGAGACAGCGAGGCGTCTGGAGGGCTGATAGGCTGTGCCTAAACAGCAAATTTTATTTTTCAAAGGCCAGGAATAAATACACTTTCTTGGCTCTGGTTTACCTCATAGTAAGAGGAAATGCAAATGTATGCCTCACATGGCCTATACAATAGAGAAGTCAGATATGCGATCAATGGTTGTAAAAAGTAACAAAATTTTCTACAATCACAAAGTTTGTTTCCAAACATTATTCACAAAGCTTGTTTATATCCAAACATTATTCCTCCTGGCTGCAGGTATCTCTGGTTTGACCTTGTTTTAGAACTGAAATGTGAAAAGGTTTTTTGGTTTTGCTCATCAGAATATCTTTTAATCAGATTCTCCTTTGTCTACTCCTGACTCAACTTAACTCAACTTCCCCATTCAGGAATCTCTGAGTCAGGAATCAAAGCCATCCCTTATGGTGGCATTTTTCTTTGCAAATATCCACAGTTAAACCATTATCTAGGGTACAAGGCAGTCTGGTAAGTAAAGGTTAAAACTTATTCTTAAAGTCATAAAAAGGTTAAAAGCAGGAACCGGTTGCTGGTAGGGGGTTACTCGGTTGCTGGTAGGGGGTTACTCGGTCTAGCAGCAACACATAGTTTTAGGCCCAAACGATATTGTGGTTGATATTAGAAACTGATCATTCATCTTTCAGTTCCTATATTTCTGGATAGCTCGACTGCCTCCAGTAGGAAACTGTGTTTGGGATCAAACTCACCGTATAGTGAGACTCACGCCTTTTACGGGTCTCACACGGGAATGTTCCCCACAATTAAGTACTGTTCTAAAACGTGATTGGACTTCTTTGTACTTCAGCATATGGATAAACCATGTAGTATTTAGCCAGTTCCATTGTATGGTTGTTCAGTTGTTTCAGAGTTTTTGCTTTTATAAAGAAGACTGGAGTGATCATTGTTGGACATCTATCTTAGTGTGCATCTCTGTGTGCATTGTTGTTTTTTGATCAATAAATTCTTAGAAATAGAGTGTACCAATTTATAATCTCACCTGTAACACACCTCATATATATGTGTATCCATTTCACTATTTCCTTAAACTATTGTTTAACGATTTAACTATTGTTAAACCGTTGTCGAATTTATCACACATGAAATGGTGTGATACTGGATTTCTATCTATTTCTATTGGATTTTTCCTCTTTTATTTGTGCTTTCTATAAGCTTACTAACACTTTGCCATAAATGTGACTTTATTTTCCATTTTGTCATCCCCCTTTTTTTGTTTGTTTTTCTGACATGGAGTCTTGCTCTGTAGCCCAGGCTGTAGTACAGTGGTGCAATCTCAGCTCACTGCAGCCCCTGCCTCCCAGGTTCAAGCAATTCTCCTGCCTCAGTCTCCCAAATAACTGGGACTTCAGACACATGCCACCACACCTGGCCAACATTTTTGTTTTTAATAGAGAGCGGGTTTCACCATGTTTGCCAGACTGGTCTCGAACTCCTGACCTCAGGTGATCTCCTGCCTTGGCGTCTCAAAGTGTTGGGATTACAGGCGTGAGCCACCATGCCCAGCCTGTCATCCCCTTTTAAAGTAGTTTGTGGTGGATTTTTTATTTAAACATCAAAAATAATGTTAATCTTCTTGTTTAGGTAAATACTAACCAGTATTTTCTTCTAGTTCTTTAATGGTTTTACTTATTTTAAGTATTTAATCTGTCTCAAATTTATTTTGGTATATGATGTGAGGGTGAGATTTCCCAATGTTTTTGCCGTTAATTAACAGTTTTTCCCTTCCTATTTATTAATAAACCTTTCTTTGGCCACTGACTTGCAAGGACACTTTTTAATATATTTAATTTTAATTCTAATTTTTTATTTATTTATTTTTTTGAGTTGGAGTCTTGCTCTGTCACCCAGGCTAGAGTATAATGGTGCAATCTTGGCTCACTGCAACCTCCACTTCCCAGGTTTAAGCGGTTCTCCTGTGCCAGCCTCCCCAATGCCTATAATCCCCAACTGGCACTACCATGCCAAGCTAATTTTTGTATTGTTAGTAGAGGCAGGGTTTTTCCATGTTGGCCAGGCTGGTCTCAAACTTCTGACCTCAGCCTCAGTGATCCACCTGCCTCAGCTTCCCAAAGAGCTGGGATTATAGCCATAAGCCACCGCACCCAGCCGCTTTTTAATATATTTAAGGCAGTATTTAACCTAACAAAAATAGTAGCCATGCTTCAAGTATTGCTCCAACCAAGCTTCACAAGCATTATCTCATTTGAGCCTTATGTCAGTTCTGGGGGTAGACACTGTTATTCTCTTCATCTTAGGAATGATGTGATACTGAGGCTTAGGTTTAGTAATTTGCCTAACGACACACAGCTAGCAAGCAGCTGAGTCTGAATTTGCACCAGGATGTCTGCTCTCTTTTTTGTTGTTGTTGTTGTTTTTGAGACAGAGTCTTGCTCTGTTGCTCAGGCTGGAGTGCAGTGGCACAATCTCGGCTCACTGCCACCTCTGCCTCCCAGGTTCAAGCGATTCTCCTGCCGCAGCCTCTGGAGTAGCTGGGGCTACAGGCACCCGCCACCACACCTGGCTAATTTTTGTATTTTTAGTAGAGATGAGTTTTTGCTGTGTTGGCCAGGCTTGTCGTGGACCGTCTGGGACGGGTAGGCACGTCTGCCCGGGGGTCTCTTGACCTGCAAGAGGGTCCCAATACCTGGAAGAGGGAGTGCGCCTGGAAAATTAATAAAGACAGAGAGAGAGACAGCGAGGCGTCTGGAGGGCTGATAGGCTGTGCCTAAACAGCAAATTTTATTTTTCAAATGCCAGGAATAAATACACTTTCTTGGCTTTGGTCTACCTCATAGTAAGAGGAATGTAAATGTATGCCTCACATGGCCTATACAATAGAGAAGTCAGATATGCGATCAATGGTTGTAAAAAGTAACAAAATTTTCTACAATCACAAAGTTTGTTTGCATCCAAACTTGTTTATATCCAAACATTATTCAGGAGACTTGTTTATATCCAAACATTGTTCAGGAATCTCTGAGTCAGGAATCCAAGCCATCCCTTATGGTGGCATTTTTCTTTGCAAATATCAACAGTTAGACCATTATCTAGGGTACAAGGCAGTTAGGTAAGTAAAGGTTAAAACTTATTCTTAAAGTCATAAAAAGGTCATAGCAGGAACTGGTTGCTGGTAGGGGGTTACTTGGTCTAGCAGCAACGCATAGTTTTAGGCCCAAACGATATTGTGGTTGATATTAGAAACTGATCATTCATCTTTCAGTTCCTATATTTCCAGATAGCTCGACTGCCTCCAGTAGGAAACTGTGTTTGGGATCAAACTCACCGTATAGTGAGACGCACGCCTTTTAGGGGTCTCACACGGGAGTGTTCCCCACACAGGCTGGTCTGGAGCTCCTGATCTTAAGTGATCTGCTGTCCTCAGCCTCCCAAAGAGTTGGGATTAGAGGCGTGAGCCACTACGCCCAGCCTCAGAATGTCTGTTTTCTTCAACACTGCTACAATGTACTTCTTGTTTTCTTATGCTTATTCTTTTTTTTTTTTTTTTTTGAGACAGAGTTTCGCTCTTGTTACCCAGGCTGGAGTGCAATGGCATGATCTCGGCTCACCGCAACCTCCGCCTCCTGGGCTCAGGCAATTCCCCTGCCTCAGCCTCCTGAGTAGCTGGGATTACAGGCACACGCCACCATGCCCAGCTAATGTTTTGTATTTTTAGTAGAGACGGGGTTTCACCATGTTGACCAGGATGGTCTCGATCTCTTGACCTCGTGATCCACCCGCCTCGGCCTCCCAAAGTGCTGGGATTACAGGCTTGAGCCACCGTGCCCGGCCTTCTTATGCTTATTCTTAAAATATTGACTTCAGAATCATTTTGTCCAGTTCCCAAGAAATACGTCTGACTAATAAACAACAACAAGAAAATCCTATTGGGTGTTCTTTAAAGTAATATTAAATGTACAAATGAATACAGATAAAATTGAATTAAGCTCTTTTCTGTATTAAATATTCTGATTCTTGATCATGCTGCATCTCTATTTATTCCCATTTTCTTCTCGGTCTTTCCCTGCACTTTGCTATTTTTACAATACAAGTCTTTTGTCGTTCTTGTTTATTTTTGGATAGTCTCTATTTTTCGCTGCCATTGTGCTGCAGATCTTCTTGCTGCGATGTTTTCTCAGAACGAGTTTGTTGGCGGATAGGTGGGTGGATGAAGGAACAGCGCTGGTTTCCTGTCACTCTCCCTGCTCCCTCTCACTAGAGCAGAAGGCCTGATTAGTTGGTGCTTGTGCTTTCAAGTATTTAGCACAATGTTGTGGAGACATAAAAGTTCATGACATAAATATTCGTAGAATTAAAGAGTCTTTTCCAGTTATTAAATAATATTTATTATACCGTGGGTTTTGGCTCTCCTGGACTAGTACAGGAAGGGCTGGAATCTACGCCCACCCCTGATGCTGTGTCTGTCAGCCACTTGCTGTCCCTGAGTTTTCATGTCCTCACTTGTAAACTGTGGGACTGTTTGGTTCTTTCATGGGTGTATGAAACTTGTAATTGAGTGATTTTGAGGATTAAAATTAAGAAAGGTTAAATACCACTGTTCATCAACCCAAACTGTTCACTTCTCTGGGGAAGAAACAGGGTAAAGAAATGATGTGGGTGATCCAAGAATATGTAGTGTGTGCAGTTTTACTGGGAGACAAGCAGTGGGTGAGAACAGTCTCCTTGCTGCCCTGTGCCTGTCATCAGTGAAATTCCCCACTGAGTGTGCTGCTGTCACCTTTACCTATAGAAATAGAGAAGACCTTTGTTTTAGCTCTTGTTATAACAATCATCCAGGCACAGGGTCTTTTCCTTGTGCTTTGTTTCTCCCCCCTGCCTTGTCTCTGGATTTTCACTGGAGCCATTCTCTTCTTCAGGGACATTCATACCACCACCGGGAAGATCAAGAGAGCGGTGCTACAGTTCACTCCTGCTAGCTGGACCTATGTTCGATGGTTTGACCCCAAATCTTCTTTTCAGAGAGTAGCTGGAGTTTACCTTTTCATGATCATCTGGCAGGTATTTTTTCAGATGCCCAGAAGTTGGGGAAAAAAACAAAACTAAAATAAAATTTTTTAAGGAATTTAGAGTTAATGTTAGTTTACATTGCTTTCCAGCTCCATACTTCATAAGATATAATATTCTGCAGCTGGCATGTAGAATAATTAAGCAAAGTGATATTATTATGCCCAAGGTCTTGCTTTGTTGTGAAGACACTTTTAAAATATAGATCTTTGAATTACAAATTAGAAACAGATTAGACTCCGCCAAAAAATGTGTGTCTAGTATCCATCATCCAATGAGTTAGGCATTGGATCGCTTTTCAGAATGATCGTTTTCAAGACCAAAGGTTTTTCTTACATTACCAATTCAGTGTCTATTGGTTACAATTGTTCCTCAGCTGTTACCACTTTGGGTAATCTGTAGCATGCTAAATGAGTGCTGGGGAATTGGAGCCTTTTGCTGAGTCCTCCAGAGTGTTGCCCTCTGTGGAGAGAAGCTGTATTTCCAAGAGGCACACTTCACGACGGAAGTGATTCCAGCAGCCCAGCATCTTGGCAAAAGCTTATCAAGCATCTGTGTTTTTGAGAGATAGCGATTTTTTTTGATGCTCCTGGCCCCAGGTTGTTTCACAGCTTTTGTAGACTTGCCAAAGAAAAATCAGCTTTTGCCTGAAAGATCTTTCAGAATCATCAGAAATTATGTTTGGACACATAAATACAAAATAGTCCCAACATAAGGAAAAAATTAGCAGATGTCACTTCTAGGACATACTATCTTCCTCCTTCACACAGAATTAACAATGCCCATCTTAATAAATGGAGTTTATGCAACAGAAGTGTGTGTGTGAATAAGTAATCACCATGGTGTGGAGAGGTCAGTATCTTTAAAAACAGGACTATAGATGGATTGGGATTAAGCTTTGCCTTATCAGGCGCAATGTCATGAACAGCAGAAGCTTTCTTTCATTAGAAGGAGGAATGATTGGATTTGTCAAGGAGAGTAGTATAGTGCCGCTAGGATGGAACCACCTGGTGGTATGCCATGGAGCACACTGTTCCCATGAGTGTGAGCATTGCACTGGGATCAGCTCTCTATATGTGATATTAATTAGTAGACTACTTTTTATTTTGCGTCCTTGAGGTCAGTGCTATAGGAAAACAACATGCATTTTGTGTAATTGAAATGAACCTGCCTGTCCATGTACTGTGTTCTCCAAGCGCAATGACCTTTCCATAGTTTCTACCCCTTGTTTGCTATCTGGAGCCACGCTCCAAGCAGAGAGCAGCCACATCTCAACCACAGGACATTTTGCGCTGCCAAGGACTGATCTTGATGAACTGCATGAGGATACTAACCTCAGGGAAAAGTACTGCTGCTTTCAGCTGAAACTTGGACCAACTCTTTACACCCACTTTTAAGGGCTGCCTTTGGTGGAGGATGTGCTCTGTCCCAGGCGTGTGCTGCACAAGTCCATCCTCATCTCTCAGATGTGTTTTGTTTTGTTTTGTTTCTTTTTGAGACAGAGTTTCACTCTTGTCACCCAAACTGGAGTGCAGTGATACAATCTTGGCTCACTATAACCTGCAACCTCTGCCTCCCAGGTTCAAATGATTCTCCTGTCTCAGCCTCCTGAGGAGCTGGGATTACAGGCACCCACCATCATGCCTGGCTAATTTTTGTTTTTTTAGTAGAGACGGGATTTCATTCTGTTGGCCAGGCTGGTCTCGAACTCCTGACCTCAGGTGATCCTCCCACTTCAGCCTCCCAAAGTGCTGGGATTATAGGTGTGAGCCACCGCACCTGGCCTCAAGTTTCTTTTGATTGTTAAAGAGCTTACTTATCTGCAGTTGGAATTCTCTTAGACCTGGCTTGACTTCTGTAAGGCAGCATAGGTGTTCCATGCCACAGGTTTGCTTTCATGACTTCTGTGTGCTCAAAGCATTTCTCTCCTGACTAGCCCAGTGAATCACACATGTGAGCCTAGTAATAATCATGCAAATCAGGAAACATGACAAATAGCTGATATCCTGTGTTCCCATTGTTCCCTGCCCATATTGTACTGGCTGTTAACTAGTTTGAATAGCAATCCTTGGAAGACCACATCTATTCTCTGAAAATGCTTTGAACGTACTAATTATTTTTAATTGCAGAATGTCTATTTAAGGACTATAGGATTTTGAATTAGCATGAGGTACCAGGTTGACTATTTCTCTGTCTTTTTCAGCTGACTGAATTGAATACCTTCTTCTTGAAGCATATCTTTGTGTTCCAAGCGAGTCATCCATTAAGTTGGGGTAGAATTCTCTTTATTGGTGGCATCACGGCTCCCACAGTGAGGTAATTCTGCACAAGTCCAACTGTCATATGAGAACATTAACTTGCTTTAGATTGTCCTGTTTATCATAAGGAAAGTCACATAAACTAGCAGATTTTCCGTGAAAATACCATCATAAAGAATTCTACATCCAGAATATGAAGAAAATGTTTTGTTTTCAGATACCAGGAACATTAACAAGACTTTTAAAAAAGGGAAGCAGAAAAGACAAAAAGAAAACAAAAGTGAAGAAAAAGGGTAGCACTTGATCAACAGCACACCAGTAGTACTACCCATTGTTATCGGACTCCTTTACAGTCTTGGACTGCTGATCTTTTTTTCTCCTATAACATATTAGAAAAAATTAGCAGCATAGTGATGCTGAGTTTTTTAAAAATGAGATTGCTGGAAAAATGGAAACTTTTTATGATAGAGCTGAAGTCATAAATAACATTATTTTTTGAACGAGACTTTTAGCTTTTCAGACCCAATTAATTTAATTTCCTTTAAAAAAGGCCCTTCCTGTAGTCCTCCAGGACAACTGAGATAAGTTTGAGTGTTCCTACTGTTATTCCCCTGGATTCATGTGGGGCCCTAGAGGTGAGGCTTATTCAGAGACCATCCCTCATATTGACTGGCCCCAGTGCAGTTCAAAGCAAACATTCTCATTTGTTTCATTTTTCCTATTTAGAAATGGCATTTGGGTTGTATGACTAATATGGAATACTGGCGTTAATGAGTAGCAGTACCAAAGATCTGCCAAAGATACAAATAGAGTCTAAGCAGTTAAAAGAGTTAGCTTTTCAGAAGCTGTAAGATTGCTTTTTTTTTTTGAGTCAGAGTCTCCCTCTGTCACCAGGCTGGAGTACGGTGGCGTGATCTTGGCTCACTGCAATCTCCGCCTTCTGGGTTCAAGTGATTCTTCTGCCTCAGCCCGCTGAGTAGCTGGGATTACAGGTGTGTGCCACCACACTTAGCTAATTTTTGTAATTTTAGTAGAGACGGGGTTTCACCATGTTGGCAGGATGGTCTTGATCTTCTGACCTCGTGATCCACCCGCCTTGGCCTCTCAAAGTGCTGGGATTAGAGGTGTGAGCCGCCAAGCCCTGCCTTATTTCACTATTTTTAATATGCTTGAAAACCCCATAAGCAGCAGGCCTCACCTGCCAAGGATGGTAGATGTACACCTTGGTGAAACAGACCTTCCAGCCAGCACCTCTTCTTGTCATCATTCATTATTACCAAAAAAATAAAAAGAAAAGAAAGAAAGAAAAGAAAAACTCTGCAGATCCTGGTTTCAACAAACCAAATAAGACATGTCCAAGTCCTGAGGAGTTAAGCTTAACATTTCCATCTGTTCTTTTTGTTATGACCAAAAAGGAAAAGTAGAGTGGGTGAGCCAGCAGCCCTTTGAAACTCCATAGATAGGTGGTCTATTGCGGTCAGTAGCTCATAAGTCCTGTTTTTTTCTCAATGGTTTGGAGTCCTCATTTAATATGTAATTTAATTTGAGACTTTACAGTTTTTTTCAGGCAAGATTCACTGCAGCTCTTTCATAAAATTAAGAACAATCAATAAAGTCAGTAAGAGTGGAAAGAATTTTCTTCTTAAAACAAAATAGCAAATCACATATGATTTAACATGAAACTTCAGTATTAAACATTCCAAAACAAAAACAAGACACTAAAAATCCAATGTTTTGAACTCCTGAGAGATTCTCAAAATTTTACAATACCCTATGGATTTCTCCACAATTGTCTTTGTTTGAAAATCAGGCGCTTCCTGTGCTCTTACACTGTTTAAGGCAGTTCCCATGTAAAGAGATTCTTTGACAAGGTGCCTGGAAAGCTGGACGTGCTGCTAATGGCTTTTAACATAGCCGTCCCACTTCGCAAATGCCAGGCCTCAAGAGAAGAGAGCGTTTAGAGGCTTCAGTATAAATCGTACACACCACATCTCCAGCTTCTTCCTTTTCTATTAGACTTTCACACGAATCTGCTTTGAGAAGATATTCGAGTGAACATTCTTTTAATCTTATAAAGTACAATGTAAGGAGATGGGTGCAGTTAGAAGGGAAAGTGGCTGAAATGATAAAGACATATTAGTTATTGAGAATATGAAGTTAGAGGAAAAGCTACATTCTTTATAATCAGAATCTTCACTCTGGTCTTTGGGGCAAGGAGACAGTAGTTTATGGATGACCTTCAGGTATCCGTGAATCCCCTGAACTTCAGTGCAAAATGTTATGCCTGTGTCGTAGCTTTCATCAAATCCTCAAAGAGTCAGTGACCCCAAAAAGATGATGAGTTCCTGGTTCAGATGCTGCTGCTGAAGGGGTAGATTGAGTTTTCAGGGCTACTTACAAAGCTCCAAGCCATGCTGTCCCACACAGAAGCCTCTCACCACGTGTGACTGTTGAGCACTGGAGATGTGCTCAGTGCACAGTGAAATGCATGGAAGCTACACACCACACTTTGAATAGCTGGGGCCAAAACAGAATATAAAATACCTTATTATAATGTTTTCATATATTCATTTAAATATTTAAAATATTAATAAAATGGATTTATCTCTTCCTTTTTACTTTTTTTTAACATGTCTGCTGGAAAATTTAAAATTGCATTTATGGCTTGTATTCTATTTCTACCGGACGGTGCTGTTCTGAGCTTTTCAACACCATGTCATTGCCTGTTTTTTCTGAATGTGTCAGTAACATTCCAAGTCACTGGCATTCAATGCCGGTGAGATGTAGCTGGAGTCCCATTCCAGTTTCCAAAAGCCAAATATCTGTGTATTTTTTGCCTGGTTGCAATCGGCAAGCTTTGTCCTGGAGACAACCAGAGGAGACAGTCAATGGACAGTGCTGCTGACTCTCTGGAGTCACCTCCACGGAGCTAGACGTGGAAACACCCGCCTGGGGTTGCTTTGGGCAGGGCTGTGGGAATCTTACCACTGAATCCAGACTACCTTTGCCAATAATCTGGCTCTTTTTAGTTTTTATTTTATTTTATTTTTTTATTTTTAGGCTAGTCAAGTGAAGCAGTGGGAGTGGAGAAGGCACAAAGAAATAATCAGTTAGTTGCAAACACTCCGGCACTCAGACCAGACAATAATCTGGCTGTTTAAATGATACTCCCCTCCCTCCAGCCTAACGCCAATGCCGAATCTCTAAAAGGAATGTTTCAGCAGGCACTGGCTTTCTCTTCTCTTGAACAGAACTAGACCAGGCAGCTTGACATGGGACAAGGAGGGACATCAAATTCACTCTGTCAGAGGGATTTGATTATGTCCTGACTTGCTGGTCTTCCAGCAGCGCTCAATGAATTCCAACTTTGTTCTTTCAGACAGTACTACGCTTACCTCACCGACACACAGTGCAAGCGCGTAGGAACACAGTGCTGGGTATTTGGGTGAGTAATCTGTTATTGTGGAGATTTAAAAACCACTTACACCCTAAATTTCTTTGGGCATTTCTTGACCCTGTGTTAAGAGCCTTTTAGTATACTTTTTCAATGAAGGCAAGTGGACAAGATTTTATACACAACACACACACACACACACACACACACACACACACATACACACATGTCTTTTTATCTTTAATATTCCCTTTTCTGATTTAAGTTAAGAATAGTTACTTGGCAAATTGTGAATCAAGAGTATAGAAATGACTCTCTTCTTTTGGCTGGGTGTGGTGGCTCATGCCTATAATCCCATCACTTTGGGAGCCTGAGGCAGGCGGCTCACTTGAGTCCAGAAGTTCAAGACTAGCCTAGCCAATATGGTTAAACCCTATCTCAAAAATTAGCCGATCGAGGCTGAGACAGGAGAATCGCTTGAACTTGGGAGGTAGAGTTTGCCGTGAGTCAAGATCGTGTCACTGTACTCCAGCCTGGGCTATAGAGCAAGACTCTGTGTCAAACAGAAAGAAAAAAAAAAAAAGAAATGGCTCTCTTTCTTTTTTTTTTTTCAAGATGGAGTCTCCCTCTGTCCCAGGCTTGCCCAAGGGTTCCACCTCCTGGGTTTAAGCGATTCTCCTGCCTCAGCCTCCCGAGTAGCTGGGATTACAGGCATGTGCCACCACAGCCTGCTAATTTTTGTATTTTTAGTAGAGACGGGGTTTCATCATGTTGGCCAGGCTTGTTTTGAACTCCTGACCTCCTCATCCACCCTCCTCAATCTCCCAAAGTGCTGGGACTACAGGCGTGAGCCACCGGGCCTGGCCTTGGCTCTCTTTTTTAAAAAAAAAAAAAAAAAAAAAAAAATTAGGAAATCACATGGTATTTCCCACAAACACCTATGAGACTTTGTTTTATGAAATACATTAGAGAGAAAATGGGTTGGTTGCATTCCCTCTAGATGTATCTTGAGTTTGGGAGGTCATCCTGTCATGGACTGACCCACACCCCATGTTATTGTCTCATCAAAAGGACCCCTTGAAATAGCTGCTTGCTATATACTGAAGTATAACTTTATTATGCTAAAGAGAACTCACACAGCAGCATGGTCACAATGGTCTTGTTACAGATTCAAACATTATATCTTAATTTATTATTTAACTGATGAGAAAGAGACCTTAGGTTATCTAATTTAACCTCTTGCTGTTAAATATGAGAACCTCTTGAATATCTTAGGTAAGCTGTTTTTCTACTTAACATCAGCAACAATTTACCATCCTGTTTAGTGACCCAAGTTCCAGAGACATTCAGCAAATCTGGATGAAGTTCAATCCCCCAGGTGGCTTAGCTTCAAGACCTAATCTAGGTTCTAAATGGAGTGTGAGAGTATAAAGAAAAATTGAGGAAAACCTATTGTAGAGAACAAATGACTTTTAACAGATTTTTAAACCGTACATTCTTCCAATTAAAAAGTAATACATGCACAATGTTAAAAATTCAGAAAAGGATGTAGAAGAAACTAAAGATCACCCAAATAAATCAACCATTTAGATATAATTGTTGTTAATATTTTAATGTGGTTCCTTCCATTTTTCTCTATGTGTGTGTATGTGTGTGTTTCCAGCTGTCATTTAGATTCTAAAGGGTGACATAGTTTTAAAGGCTAAAAATGTTGATACTCAGGTTAGATTTAGGCAGGTTCCTCCTGACCCCTATAAGACTAAGGGCCATTGTTATCTCTTTCTCATAAGTTCTATGGTATAAGCGGATTTTCTTTTTCTTTCTCTCTCTCTCTCTTTTTTTTTTTTTTTTTTTTTTTGTTTTTTGAGACGGAGTTTTGCTCTTGTTGCCCAGGCTGGAGTGCAATGGCGCGATCTCAGCTCACCGCAACCTCCGCCTCCCAGGTTCAAGCGATTCTCCTGCCTCAGCCTCCCAAGTAGCTGGGATTACATGTGTGCACCACCACCCAGCTAATTTTTGTATTTTTAGTAGAGATGGGGTTTCTCCGTGTTGGTCAGGCTGGTCTCAAACTCCCGACCTCAGATGATCCACCCTCCCAAAGTGCTGGGATTATAGGCGTGATTTTCTTAACCCAAAGTGGTTGCAGCGTAAAGGGTGATGATGGCTTTGGTTGCCTTTGTTCACGAGACAGCAGGAGGGAGAATTTACACCTCTCCCGTATTTCTGACAGAGCAGAGGTGGTGCTCCTGCTTTATGCGTGAGGACCCTGTGTCCTAGAAGAAGGGATGTGGGCCACTCCTAAAGGCTTGTCCAAGGAGGAAGTAGTCTTTTCTGCATGTGAGCTCTTCTCTCCGCTCACACATTATTTACACGTGCATTTTGCTTTCATATTTAAAAGTCCTTAGCAAGGTCTTATTATTTCTGCTGTGCAGTGGGTTTTTTTCCCCACAGAATTGTATCCATTTACCTGTTGAGAAAAGTAAGTGGGTCAGAGGAAGAAGTCGTGTCATGACAAAGTTTCTCTCTAATTGGACAGCCATAAAACACCATCCTTATAGTGGGAGAAACAGCAAAGGTAAACTCTACCGTGGTGACCGATGCCTGTAATCTCCGCAACCTAGGAGGCTGAGATGGGAAGATCGCTTGAGGCCAGGAGTTTGAGACTAGCCTAGGGAACACAGCGAGACATTGTCTCCACGAAAAGTTTTTTAAGTTAGCCAGGCATGATGGCACGTACCTGTGTTCTGCTACTCTGGAGGCTGAGGCAGGAGGATCACTTGAGCCCAGCAGGTCAAGGAGGTTGAGCCTGCAGTGAGCTGTGATTGTGCCGCTGCACTCGCACCCCGACGCCAGAGCAAGACTGTCTCTTATAAAAAAAAAAAAAAAAAAAAGGAGAAAAGGAAACTATGCCAAAGAGTGGTAAACACTGCTCCAGAAAGTTGTGCCTCGTTTGAAAGTGATTACAATATAGTGAAATGCAAAGGAGAGATCACTGGGCTAACGTAGTGTGCAGTACTGAGAATTCAGAACTCCCGGAACAGTGTGATATCGAGATTGATGAGTCTTGTAGGATCCAGTGAGCTGTGCTGAAAAACAGTAAAGCCCTCCTCATAAATCACACCCAGTGGATCCTCCTGTGTGTGAACAACTGTGAGAGCTGCCCCCTGCACGGTCTACACTGCCAGCCAGGGAAGGGGAAACAGGAGCCACGGCCTCCCGCTCTCCTGACCCCGGAGGTCACCCCCTTCCTTCCTCGACCCCAGCTCTACCTCACTGCCATTTTGCCTTTATTTCCTCTCCTATCAAAACAGAAAACGCTTAATTGTGTGGTTTCCTGAAATAACTTGTTTTTTAAAATCACTAGCTGCTTTATAGCTTTCTTTTCACTAATTTTGGAATGATCTCAGACTTTGGCAAGGTGGAGAAATGAAAGGGAGCAGTGCCCCAAATAGTGGCATTCCAAATGTTGCCTTTTGGGAGGGGGAAGGGGGAAGTCAAAGGTGAAACGGGACCACCCGCCTGGGGGTCTTCCCACCACTCCAGGCTTTTTCTCCTGAAGACGGTACTTTCTCTTCTGTAAAGATGGTATCCTCAAAGTGTTTTTATGAATTACTGTTGTAACTAAATATATGTCATCCCAACAGTTGGGTCACATATTGCGCTTTTAACCTTTTTTTTCTGTTTTTGTGGGGGATGGAGTCTCTCTCTGCCTCCCAGGTTGCAGTGATTCTCCTGCCTCAGGCTCCCAAGTAGCTGGGACTACAGGTGCGCACCACCACGCCCAGCTAGGTTTTTTACATTTTTAGTAGAGACAGGGTTTCACCGTGTTAGCCGGGATGGTCTCAATCTCCTGATCTCATGATCCACGCACCTCGGCCTCCCAAAGTGCTGGGATTACAGGTGTGAGCCACCGCTCCTAGCCTTAAACCTTTTATACTTAAAGTATTGCACTCAGCCTGTAATCCCAGCACTTTGGGAGGCCGAGGTGGGTGGATCACGAAGTCGAGAGATCGAGACCATCCTGGTCAACATGGTGAAACCCCGTCTCTACTAAAAATACAAAAAACATTAGCTGGGCATGGTGGCACGTGCCTGTAATCCCAGCTACTCAGGAGGCTGAGGCAGGAGAATTGCCTGAACCCAGGAGGCGGAGGTTGTGGTGAGCCGAGATCGCGCCATTGCACTCCAGCCTGGGTAACAAGAGCGAAACTCCGTCTCAAAAAAAAAAAATTAATAAATAATAAATTAAAAAAAAAAAAAGTATTGCACTCAGCAGAGACAGGGCGCCATTCAGTGAGGGCACGGGACCCCTAACAGGGAGAAAGCAGCCCTGTGGAAAAGTCGGCTTTCTCTATTTAGATGTCACATTATGTTCTTTCAGCTTGGTGAGAGTTTTGGGGCCAGACTGATGTGAACAAATTCCCCAGGTGTGGGGTTTATGTCATCTTTATCTTTGTCTTTTCCCCACTCCACCCTGATTAGGGTTGAGCTTTTCTGCCTCAAAAAGAGAGTATTGGCCCAGTTTAAATGGAAGCAGTTTTATCACCTGGTCCTGGGAGGAGGGTGGCCAGGCGTCGGCTGGCACAGCAGTGCGTGGTTACTTCTCTTCCCGGGAGTACATGGGGTGGGCCCTTGTGGGAGAGTGAGCCTTCCCTGCCTGAGGGCCCAGGACTGCACCCTGCCTCCCCGAGGCAGCCCGAGCTGCTCCTCGCCCCACCGGCTTCCTCGCCGCCTGCTATCCTTCCTCTGCTAGTGTGTCCATCACAGTAAGTTCCCAGCTCTGCTGCTCTCCAAGGTCAGCTCCAAACCAGCCAGTCCTTTCCCCATCCCCATCCTCTTCTCGTATCTTCTGCACAGAATCTGCCTTTTTCAGACTGTCGTCTTCCCTCTGCTCCATCCATCATGGATTTCCTCTCACTTTTCTGTTTTCAGTTCCCTTTGCTGGCTTTCTCCTTTCTACCCCTCTCCTCCTTACAAATCCTCATACTTGTGCTTTTGTTCCATTGTTCTTCCAGGCCCATAGCTCAGGCTTTCTCTCTTTTTAAATTTTATTTCTTTTGAGACAGGGTCTTGCTGTGTTGCCCAGGCTGGAATTGAGTGGCAGGATCACAGCTCACTGCAGCCTTGACCTCCCAGGCTCAAGCAGTCCTTCCAACTCAGCCTCCCGAGTAGCTGGGACTATAAGCACGCACCACAATGTCCAGCTAATTATATTTTAGTTTTTGTAGAGATAGGGTTTCGCCATGTTGCCCAGGCTGGTCTTGAACTGCTGGGCTCAAGCAGTCCTCCCACCTTGACCTTCAAAATGCTAGGATTACAGGCATAGGCCACAGTGCCCAGCTCAGACTGTCTATCTTAAGGGTAGATGCAGCTATTAGCCTAGGAAAGAGAGATTTAAAGTTGAACTGAGTAAAGGGACCTATTGCTGAGCTGTGCAGAGGAACCCCCAGTCCCCCCGGGGGTGAGGAGGTAGGAGGAGATAGGTGGTCTCACACTGGCAGGCTTAATACAGACTCGCACTGTGTCCAGGCCTCTGGCCTCTGCTGTAGAAAAGCATTGTTAGCCTTCTGGAAGGGTGCTGTTGATTAGGACTCCCTCTAGTGGGCCAGAGGTAATGGTGGGGGCAGTGGCTGGTGGTTAAAGGAGCCCATGTGATCTTTGGGTTCCCACCACTGCTCACCATCTCCACAGCCCCACCCGGGTCCCCGCACCTGGATGAGTGCAGGAGCCTCCCTGCTTCCGCCCTTGTCTTCTCACGCAGTTCTGTTCGGCCAGCGGAAGGTACTCGAATGGTCATCACCACGCTGTTCTCAATAGTAAAGACCTGGAATCCACCTACGTGCCCATCAGTGATGGAGTGGATAAAGCAAATGTGGTACATAGATATCATGGAATAATGCATAGCCATAAAAAAGAAGGAGATCATGTCCTTTGTGGCAACATGGGTGCAGCTGGAGGCCATAGCCCTAAGCCGGAAGAGAAAACCAAATACCACATATTCTCACTTAAAAGCGGGAGCTAAATATTGAGCACACATGGACACAAACATCAGAATAATAGACACTGCTGACTTACTAGGGAGGGGGGAGTGGGGCATGAGTGGAAAAAGGACTTGCTGGGTACTACGCTCACTACCTGGGTCCAATATACCCCATGTGGCAATCCCACACCTGTACCCCCTGTATGTAAAATAAAAGCTGTTTTTTTTTTTAGAGGGAATCTTGCTCTGTTGCCCAGGCTTTAGTGCAATCTCAGCTCACTGCAACCTCCACTTCCCAGGTTCAAGCGATTCTCCCACCTCAGCCTCCCAAGTAGCTGGGATTATAAGTGCACATCACCATGCCTGGTTAATCTTTTGGTATGTTTTAGTAGAGTTGTGGTTTCACCATGTTGGCCAGGCTGGTCTCGAATGCCTGACCTCAAGTGATTCACCTGCCTCGGCCTCCCAAAGTGCTGGGATTACAGGTGTGAGCCGCCACGCGCAGCCAAAGCTGAAAAAATTTTAAAAACATATAAAGCAAACCATGTTAAGCCCTCTGCTATAGACCCTCTAGGATCCCCTCAGACTAAAAGCCTACACTGACCTCAACTCAGCCCTTTCCCCTGATTCCTGACCCTTCTTGTACCTTTCTCATGCCCAGGCCTCAGTCTGGGACCCTCCACACCCATGTAATCCCAGAGCCGGCCCCCTCACTTCCTGCTAGCCACCTTCTTATGAGCTGTGCCCACACACACGGACAATGGCTTAGCTAACACTCCTCAGCACAGAGAAGCAAATCATAGCCTAAAGCTAACTCAAAAGCACTGGTCTTCAGAAAACTTCAGGTTGGCCAGGCACAGTGGCTCATACCTATCATCCTAGCAGTTTGGGAAGCTGAGGTGGGTAGATCGCTCGAGCTGAGGAGTTCGAGACCAACCAGGGTAACATGGCAACACCCCATCTCTACAAAAAAACACAAAAATTAGCTGGGCATGGTGTGGTGGGCCTGTAGTCCCAGTTACTTGGGAGGCTGAGGTAGGAGAATGGCTTGAGTCTGAGAGGTAGAGGTTGCCGTGAGCCAAGATCGTGCCACTGCACTCCAGCCTGGGCAACAGTCATGCCTGGTCTCAGAAAAAACAAGACAAAACAAAAACCTTAGGGTCATTATGAAGCCAATGAGTGAGGCCTGACCAATATTTTCTTAAAATGAAATACAATAGAAAAATATCCAAATAAGGGTGCAAATTGTCTTATGAAGCTTTTATTTCTCTCTCTCTCTCTCTCTCTCTCTCTCTCTGTCTCTCTCTCTCTCTGTGTGTGTGTGTGTGTGTGTGTGTGTGTGTGTGTGTGTGTGTGTACGTACTGGATCACACAGTGAAAATTGTGTTTCTTGCTATGGGGCCTTAAATCACAAAGTTTGAGAAACAGAGAGTTAGTCAGCCAGTCTGCATGCTTTTAAAAGAGGCCTCAGGCCAGCTTATGCCTGTAATTCCAGCACTTTGGGAGGCTGAGGTGGGTGGATCATTTGAGGTCAGCAGTTCGTGACCAGGCTGGCCAACATGGTGAAACTCCACCTCTACTAAAAATACAAAAATTAGCTAGGTGTGGTGGTGGATGTCTGTAGTCCCAGCTACTCAGGAGGCTGAGGCAGGAGAATCACTTGAACCCGGGAGGCGGAGGTTGCAGTGAGCTGAGATCACACCACTGCACTCCAGCCTGGGCAACAGAGCAAGACTCCGTCTCAAAAAGAAAAAGGGTGGGGGGATCCTTAAGTCTAGTTGAATATTTAGGAATGTTCCATAATAAACTCAGGGTGTTCTGTCTGACTTATGGGGAGATCATCATACTTATATCCTGGGTTCAACACGCCATCATAGGAGTTCTTCAGGAAGGCCCAGCCAAAGATGAAATCATCGTTTTCATGTCTCTTCACTGCACAGGCTGGAGTAACAACATGTAACTGCCACCCAGCTTCTTAACCACAGTCTAGACTTCAGGAGTACAGAGAAAAAGCCTTCTGTGTTCCTCTACTGAAATGATGCTTTCTCACATGTGACACGTTCTGTGGGGCAGCACTTGGAAGATTCAAACCAACCACTCTTAAACCTTGTTTGGTTTGGGCTAGGGGAAAAGACAGCCCCAAACTCTCTAAAGACACATTCAGGAGACTTTCTGTTGATTTTTCTGCTTCGCTGAAGTGGTTCTAACTCCAGGCATTCAGGCATTGTTTAGAGCCATCCACACTTTTGATGATGGCAGTGGCCACTGTGTCTGCCAATAAGCAGGGGGACGAAGGGCCTTCTTGGCCCCTTCTTGCCTTTTTAAAAAATTTTTTGAGACAGAGTCTCACTCTGTTGCCCAGGCTAGAGTACAGTGGTTGCCATCTTGTCTCACTGCAACCTCCACCTCCCAGGCTCAAGTGATTCTCCTGCCTCAGCCTCCTGAGTAGCTGGGACAACTGGTGTATGCCACCACGCCTGGCTAATTTTTATATTATTGGCAGAGATAGGGTTTTACCATCTTGGTCACGCTGGTCTTGAATTCCTGACTCCTGATTTCAAGTGATCTGCCCACTTCAGCCTCCCAAAGTCCTGGATTACAGGAGTGACCCACCATGCCCTGCCCCTTCTTGCCTTTTCAGAAAACATCTGTGTGAGTACACCAATCCTGGAGGGTCCAGATCTCATCTTCAGCAAGGAATGCATAAAATTGACTTGTCTGAAATCAGTATTCTTATGCTGCCTGGGATCTCATGTCATCCTCACCTCACTGTGTCAGCCTGACCTAATCTGTTCTTACCTCCAAACCCTGAACCTGTAAAAGGCCTGATTTTGATATAGAACACAAGAGCTTTTTAAATTCTTTCAATATGAAGTGTGTGGCATTTAGTTTAAAAAATTCTTGTATTTAGCCCAATTTTTTACAGATCAAGAGAGGGTAAAGGGTTTATATTGTCACCAAAAACAAGGGATATTTAATCTGGAAATTCTTAGAAGGCTGGGAAGGAATGTGATTGATGCCTTCGAATTATTGAAAAGCTTCCTTGGAAGGGTCAAACTCACCCTGTGTGGCAGCCACCTAGCCTCTTAATCACAGTCTAGACCTCAGGAGTACAGTGAAAAAGCCTTCTGTGTTCCTTCACTGAAATGATGCTTTCTCACATGTGACCTGCTCCAGCAGTGTTAGGACCCAGGGTAGGAGGTATAAGAGGTACATACCAGCCTGAGACAAGGAAAAGCTTTCTAACCACTAAAGAGTTTGACCAGAAAAATAAACCACCTTGGAAAAGTAGAAGGTTCCCTATGCCTGAGAGGGTTCCAGCAGAGGTGATGTGATAACCCACCCCGATGGCAGTGGAGGTGCTGAGTTGGGTGATGCTGGGTGCCCCTAGCTCTTAAAATGTATGAGTCAAGATTTTGGTCTGGGAAGAAGGAAGAGGTGAAAAAACTTCCAAAGTAAATGCAGTTAGCTTGAACAGTGTTATTTTGTGGGGTACCTGCTACCAGTGTTTGGGGCAGTAATCTTGTGATGAGTCGAACTTTTTAATTCTGTCATGCATATTTTAGATAATGTGTATGCTCTGGTAAGATGGATTAATATTTAACCTTTGTTCTCTGTCTAATTAGGGTCATTGGTTTCCTGGAGGCTATTGTTTGCATAAAATTTGGACAAGATCTCTTCTCTAAGACCCAAATACTCTACGTCGTGCTTTGGCTTCTTTGCGTGGTAAGTCATTGCGTTTTAACCAAAGGCATTAGCTAAACTCTCATAGTATCACTTTAAACGGAACAGGAGAAAACCCCTCTTTTGCATCAAGTTTCCTTAGAATATCACAGACAGACGTTCTACTTGTAATTGTCTGAGACTGGGCACCAGCCTAAAGTTTAAGAATAAAACACAGACAGCTACACAGTATCTGAAATGAGTCACCTTGGCAGGTTCCACTCAGACGCCTCCATCAGGTACACAGGTGCATTTACTTCACTCACGGGGATTTGTCTACACAGGCGACGCATGTAGGGACTGCCATGAAAGGACAGGGACCCTCACAGTGCACTTTCCTTTCTCATCATCATGTGGCGTATACATTTGACATACACATCATAGCACATGAGTTTATATATACAAGGACATGTTGTTCATAGGCAATACAGTATGTTTTGGAAGATATTTCGATCATGCCGCTTCTGCCCTCCAGGCCCACTTTATAACCCCAGCCTGGATATAACCTTCCGCTCTGAAGCGCAGAGCCTGGAGGGCCGCCCGCCTAAGCCTTGGCTCTTTGACCTTGGGCCTCTTCCTCACCTTTCCAATGACGTAAGGTATTACCCACTTACACATTTTATGACTGCCATTCTTCATTTAAATATTTGAAGTTATTATTTTGAAGAAAGGTTCTTATTTCATATTTAAGCTTAAGATTTTTCACTTAGTCTAGACAATTTATTGGGCTTTTTAAATAATCATAGACAACTTCAAACATGTTCAAGTAGAGAGCGTAGATAACCCCTCATGTACCCACCATCATCGGTTATCAACTCATGGCCAGTTGTGTTTCCTTTTATGCCAGGCGTCCCCAAACTACGGCCCGCGGGCCGCATGCGGCCCCCTGAGGCCATTTATCCGGCCCCCCGCTGCACTTCAGGAAGGGGCACCTCTCTCAATGGTGGTCAGTGAGAGGAGCACAGTATGTGGCGGCCCTCCAACGGTCTGAGGGACAGTGAACTGGCCCCCTGTGTAAAAAGTTTGGGGACGCCTGTTTTATGCTGTACTCACTGCCCCAACCCTGAATTATTTTGAAACAGATCACCTTTATTTAATATTTCAGGATGGATCACTAAAAGAAGCTCAGGGTGCTTTTTAGATTTAATGCAACCATCCTACCATTATATCTGAAAAAAGAATTAACAGTAATTCCTCGATATCATCAAATACCTAATCAGCATCCAAATTACTTTTTCTTAAAGCTTGTATTTATTTGACAATGCTTTTGAACCCGCACTCACCCGCTGTGATTGGCTGACACGCCTTTTAAGTACGGGTTCTCCGTCTATCGCTTGCCCTTTTCCCTCGTAATTTATCGGTTGAAGAAAGCAGCTCTTTTGTCCTATAGATTTTCCCACAGTCTGGATTTTACTGATCTTCATCCTATTTTGTAATTTAACATATTTCTTTGTCCTCTGTATTTCCTGTAAATCGGTAATTGGATCTAGAGGCTTAAATCACATTTAGGTCTAATTTTTTCCTTTCTCTTTTTTGGCAAGACTAACTTTTGTATTTTTAACGTGTCTTTTATCGCCTTTAATGGTTAATCTATTTTTAGGGTGACTTGTTAGAAATCATAACTGTGCCAAGGCACAGTGAGCCTGTTCTATCCCGTTTCATCTTGAAGAATAAAAGGGAATAATGATCTCTTTGGTATTTAAGCGACAGAATTAATGCCCAAATACATTTTTTCATGTCAGTGAGATTAGATGTAAGGAATCATTAGGGAAATGTGTTAGACGTGCCCAGGGATTCTCCCTATGCCCTTCTCGGATGTCTCTGGCCTGTGCCCCTCAAGTCTGAATTGTAATAGGACCTGACTGCAGGGGCAGAGGTGGGTGCTGTCTTCACTGGGTACAAGACAACCATGGGCCCACAGGGAGGGTGAGACAGGTAGGACTCCCAGGACAAGACAGACAGCCCTCCTCACCACAGCAAGTCACAGGCCTCCCAGCTGCCTCCTCGCCACTGCCCCCCTGGCAGCAGTAGCCAGAAAGATCTTCTCGAGCCACCTATCCAAGAAGCCCTCTCTGGTCACTGTCTTAGTCCATTTTTAGTTGCTACAACAGAATACCATGGGCTTGGTAATTTATAGAGAAATTAAATCACAGTCCTTTATTTGGTTCATGGTTCTGAAGGCTGGGGAAGGCCAAAAGCATGGTGACGGTATCTGGCAAGGGCCACCCCATGATGATGGAAGAGCGAAAGGTGGAAGTGAGCATGCAAGACAGCAGGTGGTGGGCCAGAGCTACCCTTCTTATCAGGAACCCACTCCCACGATCACTAACATGCTCCTGTGATAACAACCCCACTCCTGCAATAATGGCTTCGATCCATTTATGGGGTGCACTCCTCATGAACCAATCATGTCTTAAAGGCCCCACCTCCCAATACCATTACATTGACAGCTAAGTTTCCACATGAGTTTTGGCAGGGACATTCAAGCCATAGCATTCCACCCCTGACCCCTTGCTTCTCAACATACAAAATACATTCATTTCATCCCAGTAGTCTCAAAAGTCTTAACTTGACCCAGCATCAAGTCAAAAGTTCAAAGTTCAGAGTCTCATCTAAATCAGATATGAGTGAGAGTCAAGACACAATTCATCCTGGGGTGAATTAACATCACGTGGACACCACCAAGGTTTCTGGCCTATACCTTCCAGAGTGGTAGCCCAAGCCACACCAACATCCACTTGAGCCACAGCCAAGAACTATGCCAGCCGTGAGCCTGTGAAATCAAACTGGTCGTCTACTTCCGCAATACACTAGTGGGATAGTCATAGGATAGACATCCCAAATCCAAAAAGGAGAAATGGCCAAGAAGAAAGGGATAAGCAGTCCCAAGTAAGTCTAGAACCCAACAGGGAAACATTAAATCTTAAAGCTGGAGAATAACCTCCTTTGACTCCATGGTCTACATCCTGGCCTGGGGCAGGAGTTGGGCCAAGGCCCGGCAACTCCACCCCTGTGGCTGTGCCGGGTTCGGCCAGTGCTTCAGCCTTTCCCGCCTGGAGTTGCACACTGGCGGTCCTGCAGTTCTGTGGTGTTTGGGTTACCCTGCTCCAGCCCATTTCTCCTTGGCATTGCCATGCTTACTAGTGGCTCTCTGCAGTGACACTGCCCCCGTGGCAGGGTTTTGCCTGGTCTTCTAGGCAGTTCACCACATCCTTTGAAATCTAGGTGGAGGAGGCTGTGGCCTCCACAGCTCTTGCATTCTGCATGCCTGCAGAATTAACACCACACGGACACCACCACGGTTTGTAGCTTATACCTTCTAGAGTGGTAGCCCAGGCCACATCATGGCCCACTTGAGCCACAGCTAAAAGGCAACCAAGGAGCACTCTGCTAAAATATGGTAGTAGAGTGCCTAGGTAGTCCTGGTCAGTGAGCCCGTGGAGGGCTCCCCACACCTGTAACCCAAAATTATTCTGCCCTCTTAGAGCTCTGGGTCTATGATAGAACGGGCAGCCTTGAAGATCTCAGAAATGCTTTTGCTTTCAGGGGTCTTCCTCCCATTTTATTGATGAATGGCACCTGGTTTCTTTCTTTCCATGGTAATCTCTAACAGTCATGGGGCCTCACCCTTAGTGATGGGAATATGCTTTTTTCTCTTTATATGGCTAGGCTTTGAATTTTCCAGGTTATTCCACTCTGCTTCCCTTTTAATTATAAATTCTGTCTTTAAGTCGTTTTTTTCCTCTCACATTTCATCGTATGCAGTCAGAAGCAGCCGCACAGTAGCCTGTATGCTTTGCTGTGTGGCTTTCTTCCACCAGATATCCTAGTTCATTGCTCTTAGGTTGCACATTCCAGAAAGCCTTCAGGCATGGGCACAATTCAGCCCAGGTCTTTGCTACTGTATGACAAGGATGCCCTTTACTCCACTTTCCAGTCCTTGCTCCTCATTTCCATCTGAGACCTCATCAGAATGGCCTTTACCGTTCATATTGCTAGCAGCATTCTGGTCATGAACATTTAAGTAATCTCTAAGAAGACTGAGGCTTTCTCTCTTTTCTTCTGAGCTCTCACCAGGATTGCCCTTAATGCTCCATTTATGGCAATACAGGCTTTTTCTAGCCTGCTCCTCCAAATTATTTCAGCCCCTACCCATTAGTAGTACATGGTGAAGAGAACACCCAGCCAGTTCCAAATCTGCAGCCACATTTTCAAGTATTTGTTATAGTAGCCGTCCCACTTTTGGGTACCAATTTTCTAAGCAGTTTCATGAATTGCACATTTGATCTTTATACTTTGAGGGAAGGTATTTTATGATCCCTCTTTTATAGATGAGGAAACAAAGGTACAAAGAAGTTCACTAACTTGCCCAAGATCACATAGGTGGTTAAGTGGCAGAACCAGGACTCAAACCCAGACATTCTTTCTAGGGAGCTGCTCTTCATCACTGCCCTCCAAGGATCTCTGAGTTCAGATGGCAATTAGACCTGCAAACTCATTGTGTTCATATGTGATAAATACTATAAAAGATGTGTGTGCATAAGGCTAAAGCATTCTTAGAGCAGCAGACATGCTGAGGGTTGGTGAAGGCTCCTTGGTGACACTTGAGCAGGATTTTTAAGGGTTGCAGTGAACGGCTGGCTGTCCCCCAACCCCCTAGGCCCCAGCTAAAAACCTGGAGGCTGCTTCCTGTCCTCCATCACTCTTTGAATCAGCAAGTCACTAAGCTCTGTTAATTGGACAGTGTAGCTCAACTCCACCCCCTCTCCATTCCCACTGCCTCTGCGGCTGTCAGGACACCCATTTCCTTACCATTCTGCCCTCCAAATCCATTCTCCATGCTACTGTGAAGATGATCTTCCAAAATTAGAACTCAGTCTCTTTCCCCTGCTAAGAATCATTCTCTCTGGTTGGAGGCTTGAGAGGGCACGGTAACACAATATTTTTCCTCACCTGAGTTAAAAAATAAGTAAGAGATAAGTAAGGTAGAGGAACGATAGGGGATCAGAGTAGCATCTTCATTTCTGAGAATTCACCTTTTTTAGGAAATGCTGGCTTCCTTAGAGTCACCAGTCAAGGTGTGGCTCCTCCCTAGGAAAGCAGTGAGGGGTGGAGGGAAGCAGTGAAGCTTCCTCCACATAGGAAGAAACTTCAAGAAGGAAGAAGGCTCCCTACCACGAAACCTCCCAGATGAATTACAAAATCTGTCTTTGTAATGGGAGCACTCCATCACATCTGGCCACTTGTACTGCGTTCTCAGGCTGCACCTGTCTGCTCGTAGTTCCCTGAAGAAGTCATCCTGCCAGACTTCTTTTGCCCTTCCCGTGATGTTTTGCTGCCTGATCTGAAAGACTTTCCCTGCCTTATCTACCTGGCAAAACTGATACCGCAAAACCAACTTCCATGTATGCCGTCCATGAAATATGCTCTGACCTCCAAGGCAAGCAGCTAGCTCCCTCCTCAGGACCAGTCACACTTTGTACGTGACTGTCAGTTCTAACCCCAGTGCAGTGGAATTGGTTTTGTTCCTATCTGTCTCCTCCACATGGCACTTCTTGCTCACAAAGAATAAGTTGAAGTCATCTTTTTGCCCCCACTGTCTCAAGCACAGTGCCTAGTGCATAGGAGGCACTCAGCAGCTTTGTGGGGCACACAGGAATGAGTTCAAGAGAAAAAGACTAGTGACACGCAGGTGCCTGGGGGACACACATACAAAGACAGGAAGCTGTGAGAGTGCCCAGCGGCTCAGGAAGGTGGTGACCTGTTTGAGGAGTGACAGTGAAGACAGCAAATTGGATGAAGAGTAGGGCACGGTCTCCTGCTTAGGCTTCGTGCAGCTGTAGTTGGAGCCCCGGCGATTTTTAAGTGGGAAAACAATGTGGTCTGATTTGTGTCTTATGGAGAAACACCATGGAGTCTGGGAGAGTATAGAGGGAAGATGGGTTGGGGCCAGGAGGTGCAGTCAGAGGTGCTGCCAGGCCTAGCTAACAAGTAACTGAGGCTGAACCAAGGCAGAGGCATTGAAGATGCAGAGAAAGGGCTGGATCTGAGAGTTGTTTGAGGAATCAGCTTAACAGGATGACATTCCTCTTGTGATCACTGGGAGGGGACTTGAGTGCCACTCCAGAGGCTCTAATTGGTGCCACTGTGTGGCCACCGTTGCTAGTGAAAAATTGGGGGATATAAGAGAAGCCCATTGAAAGGAGGAGGTGAATTTGCTTCAGGGGGTTTGGGTTTGAGGAACCTTTAGAATTTACAAGTGGACGTGTCCTGTTTTATGGGAAATTCCAATCTTCAGTATCACTGGAAAGATTTGGTCATTGGGAGATAAAAGACTTGGGAGGAGCCCATGTGGAGGGCGGTCTTGGAGTCCTGGGATTAGGCTAAGAGCTCGAGCTCCGGGAACAAGTCTCTGGGAGAGGAGCTGACTGAGGCTGGGATTCTTTAATAAGAGGTCAGGCTGGGGACGACGAGCAGGATTTTGAAGACAGGCAGAATCTCTGATTAGACTTACCAGGGATGAGACATGAGAGAGGGACCTGGCCTGAAAAGTAGCCCCGCCTGGATGATTAGGGGTCTCCACTGCCTCCCACATTTACATTCAAAGAAGAACAGAAGCAAGGTCCTGGCACTTTTTTATATTCCCGACCTTCATTTTAAAGAGCAAGATTAATCTCAGACCCAAGGAGTAGAGGCGAACATTATTCAATAAGAGCTTCCAGTTACACTATGCCTCTGCACCTCTCAGACAGGCAAAGCCCCTAATTACTCCCCTGGCCTGGTAAGAGAGTGCACACAGAGCTTGAGATTAATGCGGAAGCGAAGATCCCGGGTGCTGGTTAATAAGCTTCTCCAGAAGCGCGGCTGTCTGCTCGGCAGTCATTAATTTGAATGCTCATTACCATAATGTGGAAGCCAAGCTGGGGTCCTGCGCCCTCATTATCGCCAGCCCCGTGGTCCTGGACAGCCTGGCTCTCATCCCGCGTCGATTTTTCTCGCTCCCCCGGCCTTCCTTTAAACAAAGTATGCAACTGCTATTTTAAATCTGAGCCTTGGCATTTTCAGTGAGTACGTGCCTAGATTTCTACAGGTGTGATTGCAAACCTGTAAATTACCAGCTTCCGTCTGCTGGAACAAGTGTAAAATGGGCCTCTTTGTACGCAGGTGAAGTAGATTTGGCAATCACAGCAGACCCTTTGTGTGGCGATTGTGATAATAAGCACCTGTTGCTCCCCACCTGCCTGCTGTTTGCTGCTGGAGGGAGCGGCAGCTGCCACTGCACTCCGGTAGGGCCTGGGGCTGGGGAAGGGACGAGCCCCGCGTGGCTGCCCTCTGGTGGTCAGAGTTTGCAATGACAGTCTAGTGGAGGGACCCGGCTTCCCACAGCCCTCTGGTTTGGGGAGGGGGAACCTAACCTCCCAGTCCCCTGTGTGAAACCCAGGATGGCCTGTTTTGCTCTTTGTAATGGGCCTGACGCACACACAGGCTTACACTCTGCAAATCATTTCTAATCCTTCCCACTTTTTCCATGCCATGAAATGGCACACTTAACATTGGTATATATAAGAAATCTGGGCAAGCATTAGAGTGTGTTAAAGGTTGGAAGTCATTTTCACTTTGCAGTTTTAATGGATTCATTCATGGCCTAATTTTTGGACGGAAGGATATGAGCTTTTTAGAAATCCCTAACCTGTAGATACATGCCAGTTCGCACATGGGTTTAATATGAAATGAACCAGTGGTGCTCCTTGTGCCCTCATTCGCTCTCCACCCTGCCATTGTTCCTGCCCCAATGTGACTGGCATGGAACGGGAAGGCCAGCCGGAGTGTTGGTCTCCATTCTTTTTTGGAACTAAGATGGCACTGTGTATCCAGCAGCCACCAGGAAATGTCGCTGATAAAAGAACTGGGCCAGCCGGGCGCGGTGGCTCAAGCCTGTAATCCCAGCACTTTGGGAGGCTGAGGCGGGTGGATCACGAGGTCAGGAGATCGAGACCATCCTGGTCAACACGGTGAAACCCCGTCTCTACTTAAAATACAAAAAATTAGCTGGGCATGGTGGCGCGTGCCTGTAATCTCAGCTACTCAGGAGGTTGAGGCAGGAGAATTGCCTGAACCCAGGAGGCGGAGGTTGCAGTGAGCCGAGATCGTGCCATTGCACTCCAGCCTGGGTAACAAGAGCGAAATTCCGTCTCAAAAAAAAAAAAAAAAAAAGAACTGGGCCAAAGCTAGACTGCAGCTGCCGTGATGAGAATTCACAGCCCCTGCCTTCCCACCTTACCTCTGCTCCACCACTGGACTCTGGCTGTGCAGAGTGGAAGCTGCTGCTGTTGGCTGCTCCCATGATGCTTTTCTTTCTCAGGAGATGGATATAGGCATGGAAAAATAAAGCTATATAGGCATAAAGCCAATATTTGTTTATATCAATAGCCATCCCTTAAACTCAGATCTGGGGGTTTCAAGAGGCCTGAGTTGCGGCTCCAATGTTCACCTCTCTGAGCTTTCATTCTTCTTCTGGAAAATGAGGGGCAATGAATTTAAGGATCTCTGAGGTGACCCTTTGGGATATAAAGTTCTGATTCTTAGAACTAAAATTGCTTCCTTGAGAAGGTCCCTCCATGCTTTCACAGCTGTCCCCATGGCTGGTGCAAGATGATAGGTGTCCAGGGAAATGACAGGTTCCCAGGTGTCCACAGGAAATGCAGGGGAGAGATGGAGGCTCGACAGCCAGGATGGCTTGGTGTGGATGGGTTTCTAGAGTGAGGAATTCAGAAGGAACAGACAGTTGCCTTGCTTGGTTCCAGTTGCTTTGCTTGCAGCGGGGAAGGTGAGGCGGGGGAGATTCATAGCCTCGCTCTCCCCACTCGCCATCCCTCCCTCTCACCTTTGGTCCACAGTCTAAGCAGCCGGAGACTTTTCCCACCTTCGATTTTTTGACATGTTTCGAAACTTTGGATTCTGGTCTCTGCTTTTCTTTCCTTAAATTAGGGTCTAATTTGGGGCGTGGTACAAGGCCAGTGGGTGGGGCAAGTGTGGAGTAGAGGTTGTCCTGCCTCTGGGCACCCACAGGCCACACCCTTCTCATTCCACTCAGGGCCTTACAGAGCATCTTTATTTTCTCATTGTTTTCCTATATGTATAACCAAGAAAAACAGGGAAAAGCAAGGGCAGCCCTGTCCTGCCGAGCTCCCCACCCTCTACCCCAGGGGTGTTCATCACTGGGCCCTCAGGTGCCATGGTGACCACTTCCCCCTAGAATCCTCTTAGCACTCTCCTGGGATGGGGGAAGCTGGGAGAGGATGGGCCCTGAAAATCAGAAGTAGAACATGGAATCCTCTATGTCTTCTTGAGCAGAACCCACAAAGCTATCAGGAAAATGCCTCCCACCGTATCCCACATCTGAAAATGGTCTTGCTTTCTGATACTAGAGTCACAAATAGTAACTGTGGTCTCATCATAACCCTTGTTGTCAGAAGCTTGGGGTGTGCACCCTCCCCTTGGGGTCCCATCTCTGCCACGTCCAGCTGTTTTATAACTGGCGTCCAGACGGCAGAAATGCATTGAGCCATCCTGCATGAATTCCCATTGAAATCCTGAAGTTCTGGGAAATTGAATTTTTTTTTGTGCAACATCATTTGTTTTTCTCTTCCAGGCTTTCACCACTTTCCTCTGTCTGTACGGCATGGTTTGGTATGCAGAACACTGTGGTCAACGAGAAAAGGTATGGAAGGAGAGGCAGGGATGGCCTTTATTTATCAGCCCAGGCTCAGCAGCTTAGCTCAGAGTACGTGCCTGTAAGGATATGGCGAGGCGAGCCCTGAGATTGGGCCTCTGGGCCCGCCACTGCAGAAACGTGAGCGTGTGCAAGTCATTCGTAGCAGTTGCTGGCCCTGCTTAGGACTGCTCTCTTCAGTAGGTCAGTATTTTTATCTGTTCGGGGAAATGACAGGTTCCCAGGTGTCCACAGGAAATGCAGGGGAGAGATGGAAGCTCGACAGCCAGGATGGCTTGGTGTGAATGGGTCTTGTAAGGGGTTTAACAATTATGTTTGTTTGGAGGAAAAACAAAGTGGTGGGAAAGCCCTGGACTGGCTTTGGAAGCTGGGTTTTCTCCCCAGCTCTTGGACTGTGTGGCAGCCTCTGCCTGTGTTCCAGCCTGTGGCACCCTTAGGCAAACACTTGCCCTGACCTTCATTTAGGAGATGTGAGGAGGAAATAGAAAATAGGCGTGCATGGCTTTCAAACATGATGGTAGTCTGGTAGACAGTAATTTTTCTTAAGTAAAAATCACACTTTCATCCTTCATTTACACCTTCAGTCTAAAGAACTAAAAGCATGTTATGGAAGGTATATTCCACATCACCTGGGAGAGGAAAGCAGCTTGATTTTATAGCTGAGAAATAAGCACAGGAGGGTTCTGCCACTCCCTAGTGATGATCGCAGCCTGGTAGAGGCTGGGACTCAGCGTGCTCCTCCGGGGGAGGTCCTGAAGCGCCTCACTAAGCCTGTCTCTCTCCCTAGACCTACTCAGAGTGTGAAGATGGCACCTACAGTCCAGACATCTCCTGGCATCACAGGAAAGGTACAAAAGGTATCTTGTTCATTGTTTAAAATTTTACTGGGTCCTTGAGATATGGAATTATTACTTATTCTCTGAGTGGAGATGATATAAGCCTTGAGGGTCTCAGGCCTACCCATCGAATATTTCCTGTCACTTATTAAGAAACACGCATTGGCCAGGCACGGTAGCTCAAGCCTGTAATCCTAGCACTTGGGAGGCCGAGGTGAGAAGATCACTTGAGGTCAGGAGTTCAAGACCAGCCTAGCCAACATGGTGCAACCCCCATCTCCAGGTGTGGTGGTGGTGGGTGCCTGTAGTCCCAGCTACTCAAGAGTCTGAGCCAGGAGAATTGCTTGAACCTTAGAAGCAGAGGTTGCAGTTAGCCGAGATTGTACCACTGCACTCCAGCCTGGGCAGCAGAGTGAGACTCTGTCTCAAAAAAAAAAAAGAAGAAAAGAAACATGCAAAGTGCTCACAGGATCTACCTGAAAAACTTGGTTTCTAACAAGAGGCATCATGTAGTTCTGCCCTTCGTGAGGCAGAAAGCATAACAAGCCCCACACGGTTTCCAGCACCCTGATGGGAATGTTCTTCCTCTTGGCTTTCATCATAAGTGAAGAGGAAGAATTATATATTGGGCCAGTCACAGTGCCTCACACCTTTAACCCCAGCACTTTGGGAGGCCATGGCAGGGTCAGTTGAGGCCAGGTGTTTGAGACCAGCGTGGGCAACACAGCAAGACCTATCTCTACAAAAAAGCCTAAAAAATTACCCAGGTGTGGTGGCACATGTCTATAGTTACAGCTACTCAGGAGTCAGAGATAGGAGGGTCACTTGAGCCTGGGAGTTTGAGGCTGCAGTGAGCTACGATTGCACCACTGTACTCCTACCTGGAAGACAGCAAGACCCTGTCTCTTAAAAAAAAAAAAAAAAAAAAAAAAAAAAATTGTGTAACAGGAGGAAAAGCCTTTCAAAAGAGGGGGATGGTTTTAATGGCATTTATTCAAGAGGCAGGGCGGTGTAAGCAATTTCAGTGCAGTTAGGGGGCCTCCACTGGCCCCTAAGGATCACTTTGGGTAGATTTGGGGGCTACCTGGTTATTTCAAAGAATTAGACTTGTAGAATAATGACATTGAGGCGACTTCATTGGACAGTAATTCCTTGTCAATTCTCATAAGCTGATTGGGAAGCCTGGCTGAGGAAAGAAAATTACATACACTAAAGACTGAAACTGAGCTCACGGAATTGCTCAGAGAAATGGGCCGACAGAGGAAAAAGCGCTCTGCTGCAGTCATTCATCTAAGTTCTTTTGGCATCAGGCTCATCAGAGATCTCCCTGGGGAGACACTAGCATACACTCTACTGAGCTGCTGGCCGCCCTTTTGGGGAAAGTTTCTCCTGAACCAGGGAGTTGATTAGTGAGCGAGCCATTGTGAAATCTGATAGAGATGGGCAGAAGGACTCCCCAGATATTTTATTTAGAACCGTCCCCTTACACACAAACTTGGCACTCACAGATTCTCCCCTGAAAAGAATTAAGCAGGAGCAGAGATGTATTTACTAGATGCATTAAAGAAAAAAAAAAAAAAAAGAACAAAAATCAGAAGTCCTCCAAGGGGGGAATCTCTTAGTCTAAGCCAAATTCTACTTACAGTGGAGACAGTAACTCTGGCAACTTTTTTTTTTTATTGGCTGTCTTTAGTGGAGATTTTCTACTGGGCTGGATCAGAGCCCTGGGGCAGAGAACCCTTTGGCTTGGCTGCTAAGCCAGGCAGGGGCGGAACACAGGCTCAGCCGGACAGCAGAGGCTGCCCAGTGCCCTCTATTGTGGGCAGCAGGGGCTTGGTTACTTGTAAAGATGTTCTCCAGAGCAAGTGGTAGAGGGCATGAAGTAGCTCTGACTTTAGTATCAGAATGTTTCCCAATGTGGGGTTTAGAAAGTGGTGTGGAGCAGGTGAAGGGAGGGAACCCTTGGTTGCAAGGGCAGGATGGGCACCGCGTGGTGTGTGTTCTAATTCTCTCGTTTGGGCTTCTGTTTCACTTGTGCTCTCACTCTGGTCCTCACCATCATGACCATGTTCATCATACATAGGGCAGATGTACACACGCTTCAGGAACCACCCAGACTTTGAGAGGGTGTTGCCTTGAACCCCGTGCCACCGCTTGGGCTCCTTCAGCACTAGTTCTGACTTTGAGCGCCTCGCCTTCATTTATGAATGCGGCCACTAGGGGGAGCGCACGTATCAGGGAAAAACCTGTTCCCCTGCACGCCTAGGGCGGTCTGGAGAGGGACTGCCACCACCCTCTGGATCCCAGGCTGACGGTGAGCTCTGATTCCTTTGGCCAGGTTCTGAAGACAGCCCACCCAAGCACGCAGGCAACAACGAAAGCCATTCTTCCAGGAGAAGGAATCGGCATTCCAAGTCAAAAGTCACCAACGGCGTTGGAAAGAAATGAAAGACCTTGGTTAATCAAAGATGTTCCAGAGTGCCTAGAACTGAGAGGGAAACGGAACTCATCTGGACCTCCCTGTGAGGAGGTCAAGACGCACAGGGCAAGCAGGAAGAGGCGAGGGTACTTGGGGGTCATTATTCGAGATCGTAAGTCTTGTTTCCCACAGACCTGGCTGCGTCAGGCAGATCATGGCCTGGGGGCCTTCGCCAACGTGGGGTCTGTTCTCACTTCAGCACTTGGCACGCGGTCGCCGGTGGCAGTGCGGTGTGCTGGAGGGAAACGGTAGCTATTCACTCACAGTTGCCAAGAGCAGCTCCGTGCTTGCTGTATAGTGGATGCAGCCTCAACATCTTCCTTCAGGCAAGGCATTAACCCCACGGTTAATGGACTGGTCACCAGTTTTTATTTTATTTTTACAAATCTACCATCCCATTGATTGATTTAAGTTCAGGCCACTTTTCTGTCTTTTATTTTGTTACTGTCGTTATTTGTTTTTAAGTTAGGATGCATTTTAACAGCCTTTGGAAGCCGCTGCTGAAATTGACGTTGGGGGAAGGGTTCCCCTTCCTGCTAGAGTGAAGAAGGGAGAGAGGTATTGCGTTTCTGTTAGGTAACCTCAGTCTCTTTTAAGACCTTCCACCACATGACGAGTGTACACCAGTCAGGAGAAGGTAGCCGCCTGCCTAGGAGCCTTGCTTCCAATTATTCCCTTCCCAATGTGATTCGTCCAGACTTAACCCTCCGTGCACTAAAGCAAACCTGCTAGAGAGGCAGTGGACACCACAGCTTCTCCCCAGCCAGGTGCCTTTTACATCGGGTTTGTTCTCCTTCCATGGTGTGTTGCCGACATTGTCACTGAGTCCCATGTGAGGTGCTGGTGAGTATTACCTTTCATCCGTGCCATGCTCTAGAACCTTGACCCTGATAGTTCACCACCTCTGATGGATCCCTGTTTTAAATAAAATGATTCATGTTAAAGCCTGTCAAAGGTCTGTCTGTAAAATGTTCATTTTTCTTGCATCTTACTGGTATCTTCCATTGTCTGTAAACAGTGTGTTTTTGGAGTGACTTTAGGATACTATGTATGTGTTTTAGATAAAAGAAAAAAGAAAAGATACATATTTTAAAGGGCTTACGGCCATATATGTCCTGCTTCTTAGACGTCTCAAGTGACCAACAGGAAATGAACAATATAGTCATTGTTTTTCCTGTGGTAATGGTTTCCAAGTTGGATTTTTTTTTTTTTTCCTCTAACAAGAGGCCAGTATTCACTTGATTAGCTTATAGATAACAACTCACTGAAAGTAATCCTTTTGTTCCCTCATTTCACAGAGCACAAAGGTTCGTTCCGATGTCTCTTCTTCCTTTAAGGAAATCTTTAACCATAGAAGTGTCATGTTTTTCTTCTGTAAAACAGCTCCAAGGGGAATGGGTTGAATGAATCCTGCACAGCCAGGGTCACATCCTGTGCTCAGGGGGCTCAGGGCTCAATAGTAGGTTCTGCGGGAGTGGAGAAGCGTCAGCGGTGGCTCTGCTCACTGGGCAAGTGAGGGGTTTGTCCATGATGGGCTCAGCTCCGAGCTCTCAAATGCCATCCAGCCAGCATCTGCCTGCTTCCCACAAAAGGATGGAAGAGAGGCAAAGTGCGTGTTTTATAAAACCTGCCTGCACTTTTATAACCCATCAAAGAGGACTTTTTATAACACAGGTACAATTTAAACATCTTACTTTGCAAATAAATGTGTTTCATCTTGCATTCTGCTCTCCTAAGCGTGACATGCTTGTGCCCATTGGACACCTGTCTCTTCTTTCTCGTGCCTGGGGTGCCTCAGTGAGTGTTTCCAGGTCCATTTCCGGGAGAGGCCTGGGCCTGACTGTACACTCCTCTGACTGGAGCCTCGGCCCAACTGATGGACACATGTTCCCCCAAGGCCAGCCCACAGGAGGCAGCTGTTCCGCAGGTGGCGAATTCAGCTTTACTGTGGCATGTGTGAAGAGCAGGGCGCACATGAGACCCTTTTTTCTCCATGGCTCTGTTAGAAATAGCAAGGAAAGTCCTCAGATACTTTCCATGCCCTTTCTTTGAGTTGAAACTTTCTTTTTCCCTTTCAGTAAGAGCTCTTTACTATAGTCGTTACAAAGCCAGTGCTGTCCATGGCTGGCCAGAACGACAGCGGCCATTCCTTTTAGAAACCATACTGCTGGGTCTGGCCTACTTTTTTCACTGTTTCTATGGAAATAGACCTCACATGGATGGAAATAGAATGCCTGTTTCAGAATCATCATTCCATATCTGAAATGATTTGATTTAAATTATCTCATGTTCTCTGTTTGTAAACTGCCCTCCTAAGAGACATCATTGTTTTGGACCTCAAGCATGAAGAATGGTTTCTGTATTTTTCTCCTTAAGTAGCATTGCATTCAGTGGTAGGTTCTTTTACCTTTTCTCATTCTTGGTCTTCCCAAAGCTGCTTCCCACATTTCTTGCATCTGTTTTCACCATTCATAGAAACCTTGGCCAAACCACTGCCACAGCAATGCTAGGATGTTTCATGTATCATTTAGATGATACAAGACGTCCTATAAATGCCAGTCTTATCTTCACTAGGACTCTACTTCTACAGCAAGCTCCTAAGGTACTCACCCAGGAGAAAATAAAATTTGCTACCAAATACCGCAGTTTGAACCTTCTTGGTCTTCCCTCAGAAGCCACCATGTAGCACCCTGGAGTGATGCCTTATTATGCCAAGGCCCGCCCTTTGGAATTGGGAGGGTTTCAGGTAGAATCCTGCACTTACAGAGGCCTCAGGGTCCCTGAGAAGGGGAGGAGGTTGGACACAGAAGGGGAGGCTAAACACCCGGTGGGGAAGAAAAAATGTAACCATTGGCAACCAGACTGAAGCTAGCCCCTACAATGCGGGGTGGGGAGTTAACATCCACTGGAATGTGCTCAGCGACTGCTACAGAGTTCCTGGGCCCACCCTGATGTTTACCAGGTGAGTGCCGTTTATATGGTTGGTTCTTATTGTTATGACAACTAGAAATCCCGCAGTAGACTATACGGTGCTCCCTACCATTTCCAACTTACAGGATTGAAATCCATGTAAGGAGAGCTGGCCAGGTGCGGTGGCTCACACCTGTAATCCCAGCACTTTGGGAGTCCGAGGTGGGTGGATTGCTTTAGGTCAGGAGTTTAAGACCAGCCTAACTAATATGGTGAAAGCTTGTCTCTACTGAAAATACAGAAATTAGCTGGTCATGGTGGCAAGCACCTGTAGTCTCAACACTCGGGAGACTGAGACAGAAGAGTTGCTTGAACCTGGAAGGCAGAGGTTCCAGTGAGTCAAGATCGCGCCACTGCACTCTAGCCTGGGTGACAGAGCAAGACTCCATCTCAAAAATAGTAATAAAAAATTACTGTTAAGGAGAGCTAAGACATCTATCAGTGTTCAATACATAATGTGCCTCTTTCCTTCACATGCGTGTGCACATTCCCAGGATTTATTAGAGATTTGGTTCTTTGCAAGGGTCAGTATCAGTCATATGGCTGAGGCTGGTGGGCTGCAGTCGTGTTGCCATGCCACAGAGCTTCTTACAACATTTCCTTTTATGCCACTTCATTCTAACCTGATGCTGGGACTATCTCAGGTGAAGATTGCAATCGTTTCTTTAATCGAACTTTGTCATTTGATGCATTAAGTACGGCTTTTTAATTTTGCGTTCTTCTGTGAATTTAAAGAAATTATTTCATTGATGTCTACCAAAGAAGAGGAAAGACAGTTGGATGTGATTTTTTTTTTTTTTTTAGTTTGTAGGAATGCTGAATTGCAAAAATCTTCCTTTTCTTCCATGTTTACTAAAAAATGCCTTTAGTCCATTTCAGAAAGTTCATCTGTGACTTGGTCTACTCTGATATTCCCTTTCCTGCTGATTGTTAGGTGGAATTTTGAAGCTGCGTGTCCTACAAGAAGATATTTGTTGTCACAGTCTAACAGCGTTCAAGGGTTTGCAACAGGTCCAAGTACTTCCAAGGCCTCACAGGGCTAAGCTGAATTTATCCCTCATGATACTCTTATACATCGGGTTGAAACCTGGTCTCTAGCTGTATATTCAGTACACCCGGTGGGGAGGTGGGTGACAGTAAGCTTCCTGCCTGCATCCCTGGCTCCTAAGCCTCAGCATCATCCTCTTGGAGCAGAGTGGAGAAGGGTGTTGGCAAATCCTTTCCCCTCTCGTAACCCCAGTGAGGATAGTAACATCATTCAGATCATAGAATTTACCCAAGGTTTTGCTTTCACAGCTGATGCAACCAACCACCCAGCCTCTTTAAGTGATCTGGGCTCGGCTTGTACTTCTTGTGCCCGGGAGTTAATTGCTGGCTTTTCTTTGTTACTGGAATGCTCAAGACCTCACCCAGCCGAGGGTCTGCAAACTGTGGGCACCAACAATGCCCTGCGGTAGCAGGAAGGTTTGCTTCGAGCTGCGACCTCCTGCCCTGCGGAGCAGTCATCTCGAGGCGTTGGAGCCTGGTATTCCAGCGTCGGGTGTGGCCCCTTTCTGGATGCTGAGTAAAGGCTTTACAAACCACAGGAAATAAAGTGTGTCTGCCTTTAAAAGAAAATTGGTTTTCTAACATTTGAGACTAAAAAACCAAAATACTTCATTTTCGTGTCTGAAGTATACACACAATAGCTTTAATTACAGAGTCAAATTGCAGGCAAGGTTTATGTAATAGTTCATACTGGAAATCTGGGCTGTAAACCTGACTGTTCGCACCCACCCAACAAAGGGCTGTTTGGGCTCATTCTCCTCTATCCAACTGCATACGTCATAGACTGATTAGGTATTTTATGGGTGCAGCGTGGGAAAGGCTTAAGAATGATCTCCAGCTTTCAAAATGTTAGGGATCCTCTACCTCTCTTAGAGTGGATGAAATCCAGACCAGGAGCAGGGGAATAAGAGTTCACTAGGGCCACTGCTAACATGACTTACAGACAGAGGCATTCGGAGAACTGGAGCCTTCAAAACACCCTGTGTGGGGCTCTCCACACTCCTTCCCTTTCATGCCTGAATCCTCCCAGCAGCCACAATAACACAAGCTTGCACACAGAACACACGACCAGGAGGGGGCCAGGGGGCAGCCAGAGCAACAGCCTGAGGCTCTGCCAGGCTCCTCCACTTGATTCTTGTGCACACGTCTCATTCCCATCAGCAGACCACAGCCCCACAGATCCTGCCTCAGAGCTCACGAATGGATGGCAAGGAGCTGGTTCCCTGGAGTCTGCTGCACCTATGCCCCTCCTCCTTGGGAGGAGACTCCGTTCTCAGCTGCTTGCTTGATTAGAGCTGGCCACATCACCAAGTCCTCTTCAGATGGCTCTGGGGGTGGTTGGCTGGTTGCATGCTCCGTGGATGGAATAATGTGTCAGCCTTCGACCTCTGTTGTGTCCTTTGAGTAGACAGACTCCAGTCTTGACATCCCTTTGTTTCTGTGGCCTGAAAGGAGTTAAGATGCCAGCTCTTGAACAGGGTCTCCACCCTCCACGTGGCTTCTTTTCCCGATGTTTTAAGACATTCTGCGACTGTGAAAAGGCAATTTCTCTCCCCTGTAGCAGCTCCCTCTGCCCTCAGGAATGTGATTTACAATCTGATGAGGCCATAAACCTCTACTTTTCACGTCTGAAAAACAGCGAAGTATGGGAAAGAATGTAAATTATAAATACTGAATTCCTATGGTCAGCAATAGTGGAATGGCCTGGGTGGGCTATTTTTTTTTTTAATATGGTGTGCATATGGCTTTAATTTCTAAGGGGTTGGGTCCTCCCATAGAAAATGCCCTGCTGTGATACAGTGTTTTTCCAAAATGAAAAAAGTAGCGTTTTTCTGATGACTCACTGGTCAAATACTTTGAAATGCCACTCTTCACGGAGGGGGAGGGGGTGGTAGGTGACAGTGACATTTCCATACTCACCACCCTGGTGGATAACC